ACCCAAGGCATACAAAATGGTGGTTGAAAATGAATTGGGAAAATGGAAGGAGTCCCACCCATTTTTACTAGAGGGAAAGGGGTGGGGCTCTGATCAAAAATACTGAGCTTATCCAGGAAGATCTTTCCAAATACAGGCACCATGCATGCGCAGAGCCCATATGTGTAATGTACAGAGATCATGAAGAACCTTAAAATGCAATGTTACTGTTTAGACAAAGAAAAGGCCTACAATTCCCAACATACTCTAGTCAGTCACAGCTGACTGGAACATGCAGAGAGTCACCACCCTTTTCTTGGTCTAAACATTCATAGGGTCCTACCTTTTGTGGAAGCCTCTATCTTATACTATGCATTGACCTTGAGGAAAAAGCAATAATGACTGTCCATCACACTATAGCAAGGAATCTATTTATTTTAGGAGACTCCTGCTCAAGGAATGAAGACAACTTGAGACTTTAATGGTGATCAAACACAGACTTTGACTCAAGGCCAGTTCCACTTTAGAGGAAGACATGGGCAAATGTCCTGTGATGGACCCTCCTTTGTCAGTGGGCTCTGGTGAGTATAGCTATCATGGTGGCACTTTGAGCAGTGCTAAATGGCAAGATCAACTGTTTCATTTTGTTTTTTTCCAATTCCCCACACTTCCCAAGCTGCTTGGTTTAGGACATTATAGGAGATTTTAATGGGAGCTTGGTGTGCAGGGCCAGGAAAAAAAGGAAGAGGAGCCAAAGGTGGTTCCAATAGAGGGCCCTGACAGGGCATTAGGGGCCAACAGCCACCAAGAATGATGACCACCTGCGTTCAGATTGAGGTTTCAACTAGAAAATGATCCAGAGCCAATTCTATGTATTCAAATCAAGCAGCACTTGCCATGCATGGGAGACTGCCTAGGGACATTCCATGAGCCATCTTGAGGTCTTGGGAGGAAAAGCAAGATAAACATTAGAAATATATTTTCGAAATGCCAATTTGGGAGTGCATTTGGTTGAAAAACAGAGTAGAAACATAAAATAAATAACTATTATTTTAAAAAATTACCCACATTAATATGTAGGCAGCTTCCTAGTCCTGGGGAACAAGCTGTACCATACTTTGTTGCAACAAAGTGCTATCTTCTGTACCATACTTCCCCAATCTGGTGGGGGATGCTGGGAGTTGCTGTCCAATACATTTATAGTGCTAGATTGAAAATTAGGGTAATTAATCAAACTCCTGCCTTGTAACAGAAGTCCCTGCATCAACACTTGCAGAAAAAATGTTTTCTGAGATGTGTAACATTATTTTGAGCCGCTGCCTTGAATGGTCTATGATAGGAAGGCAAGGCAAGGCAAGGCAAGGCAAGGCAGGAAGGAATTTTAGAAAGAATAAACATGGTGATTCTCTTTGCCACTTGCCTTCATGCTAAATGTAAGATGAATCTATGTAAGATTATTGATGGCATATTTCAGCCTTCTCTAACTTAATGCTCTGCTTTTTTGGATTTTAACTCTCATCAGCCTCAGCCAGCATCAACAATGTTTGGGACTACTGGGAATTGTGGGCCGAAAAATATGGAGGGTAGTGTATATCTTTGATATGGAAGCTGGAATGCTGCCATTTCTGGATTCTTTTTCATGTGCATTTCTACCTTCCTGAAGCTAGCTCAGGGCTGTAACCAGGACTGACTGAGGTGTGCTAGAAGCCAATGGCTGTGTATTAATTCATGGTAGGGAGGCTTCACTGGCTGTGTGGCTATAGCCAGCTTGTTACGATCATTGTATTGGCATTAATGACAAAAGAGCCCTTACAGAATGAAGGTGGCAATATAAAGCAATTAGGAAGGCAAACAGTTCAGGAACAAGGAGGACTATGCTGAAATGTGGAGGCTGATGCACATTCAAGAAAAATGTATACAGGGATGTATACATCACACAGCATTTATGCTGTGAGAGTTTTCATCATGATGCATATAGTAGAGAAGAGGACAATCAAGGCTGGGACCTCAGTGGGAAACAAAAAATTAAAATCCCACCAGGATCCTAATCAAGACTAGATTGTCCCTACCTCTCTGTTCTCCTGTGCTTAAAAAGGATTATCATTCAATCGCTAATTATACATTCATCTAGTTTGGCACAAAGCCTCCCTATTTCACTGTCCTGTGAAATTAGAATTTCATTTCCAAAGGGCTGCACATCAAATTAGTAAGGCCTGTTGTGTTTTTTCCTGAAGCACTGTGGGATGTGCAGATCCATGTTGCCGGGCTCATTGTGCTTTTCCTAAAACTTCTCAAAAGTCTCTGCAAAGCAGGAGTCTCTAAATTCACCCCAGAATTCCACTTCAGATTGCAACCCTGGTGCAAGCAAGAAACGTGTAGCTACCTTTTGCTTATCTCACTAAAAGTTCTTAGCTGTACTTTAAGTCCCTTGGCTGACATTCAGCCAGGCAAACCCACCTAGAGTTGTCTCAGTGTCAGTCTTAGTCCTCTCTCGAAGCTTCCTTTTATCAGACACTCTTATGAAGCACATGTTATGATGTTAGAAAACAAAGGAAGTTAAGAGCTATTGTGTTGCAATATTTGAAATTACTTTATTGTGAAAGTCATGTTGGTGGATGCAATTTTCTACACATGTGCTTCCTGCAGTCTATGTGCCCATTAGATGTCAGTAAAAGCCAGTTGCATCTCGGTAGTGCTCTATATTTCCCTCTGACAGCAACAGCGTGTTAAACATAGATTATCCTTGCACTTTAATCCCCAAATGTATCCATGTCTAAGCTGTGTGCTGTGGCAGACAGCAGCTAGGAACATCCTGTAATGAATGATACCGATAAAGCAGGTACGGTGCGGCAGTGCAGGAGAAGTCTGGAGATGCATGCAAACTGTGTGGGCTGTCCCTGCAATGCAGCACTGTCTGATGAGAACCGACCAGCTTCAGCACTATACACAGCCATTATAATGCGATCCGCTTTCCATTATGTTCATCTGCCCCGCATAAATTGATTGGTCTAGTTTATAGGTTAATCTATGCAATTTCATTGACTTGCACGTAAGGCAATGCCCCGGGTACAAATTCTCTGGAGGGATTCCTTTTTAAAAGAGATCCACAAATCTGTGTGAACACAATCCTGAAATGAATCCAGTTTTCTGACGAAGAATCCATATACCATTTATGCCTTTCCCCACATAAGCTTGTCTAGGCTTTGAAGATAACTGGGGAGGCCCTTCTGAGGCTGCCATCATTAGCAGGAAATGTTTAAAAATATATAACTCATCAAAGGACCTTCTTGGTTGCATCTTGGTTCTAGAATTCTTTCTGCTCAGAGTTCTGGTTGGCTTGTATGTTATACCTTTTAGCTACTGAAGGCATTTCTTTTTCAGAGATTTTGGGATAAAGCAGATTCTTTAAAATATGGCATCCTTCAGCGATTTTGGGCTACAGCTCTCATCATCCCTGACCACTGGTCCTTTTGACTGGGCTGATGCAAGTTTTAGTCCAAGATACCTGGAGGACATTTGTGCACTGCTTCACACAGTTTTCATCCATCTGCCCTGGAGCAATTGCTTCTGCAGTTTCTCATAGTGCTGGGGGCCCCAGGATTCAGTCGGATGAAAACTGGCAAAACTGGCCCTTCAGTCTAGGTCTAGGGAGACCCTCAAGCAAAAGCACATTAATTGAGTCACAGAACTTAAGTTCTGCAATCAACTGTCAGCAAGAGCTGAATAATAAAGAAGAATGAATATCAAAAGTATCAAAATGCATTACAATTCCTTTATTATAATTTGAATTAATGTAAATAAAGGCTCTGCAATGTGTGTTTCTGAGAAAAGAATGGTAAACAAAAATAGCCAGTGAAAAACCTGTATCAGTCTACTCAGAAGTATTCTGTTGAGTTCAAGGGAACTCATCCGAGATATGTCGGCAGAGGGTTGCAGTTGCAGTCCCATTCGCTCTTACCATGGCATAAGAGTCCAATTAAACTCACCGGGACTTACATCGGAGTCGACATGGATACTACTGCAGTGTAGATTAATTTTAGGTTACGCTATGTATCTGGGAAAAAGATAAAAGCAGCCTTAATACAAATCTATTTTATTGCTTTAGGAAAGCCACCCATTCCAGAAACTCAATTTTGGCTTGGAAGCTGTATAGGCATAACATGTAAATAACATTAAATTGGTAAGATGCGTTGACGTAGGGAGGCGAAAGAGGAAACCGTTCGCTTCAAGTGGGTGTTTATTTTGCTGAATAGGCAAGCCGCCGGTTGCGACGAGCATCTGTGCATTACAGAGAGATGAGTAAGGGAAAACGCGGTGTCTCTGATTTGCGCCTGCATGTTACGCAACCCGTGGTGCCTCTGTGCGCGCGGGCTAGACGGCAGCAGCCGGTGGCGGGCACGCTTGCCAGGCGGGCCTGCGTGTGAGAGCCGCTGACACATTCCCCCCACCGCTTCCCTCGAGGGAGCCCAGGCGCGCCTTGTCAGGTCTGCAGCGCCGCTCCCGACGCCCAGGCAGCCAGCCGATGAATTAGCCAGACGAGGAGGCTATTCCGGGCTGCAGTTCGCAGGAGCCGCGCTAGGGCCGTGCGCGTGTGGCTATATCCATCTCCCGTCTATATATAGCACTCCCTCAGTGCGGCAGCGGGGGTCTCCCTTCCCCCGTTTCATGTCTGTCTGTGTGCCTGGGAAAAGCCGCGCTCCGCTCCCGCCTCTCTCCAGAGCGGTAGCGTAGCGATGTCGCCTCTCTCCCTGCAGAGGGCGATCCAGCCTCGCCGCTTCCGTCCTAGCGAGAGCCCGCACGGGGCGGGACGGGGCGGGACGGGCTAGGGAAGAGGAGCGAGTGAGCCAGGCGCGCGGTTTGTTCTCGCCTCAGCAGACGTCACGTGACGCTGGGAGTCCTCCTTTGAAGCTGTCGCCAGCGATTGGAGGAGGGAAGCAGCTGCTGTTGGCCACGCGACTTCTTAGTGCCGGTAGGGGGCGCCGCCTCAGGGCAAGGATGGCCAGCTGGTGTGAGTGAGCGTTGTTGATCGAGCGAAAGGAAGGAAGGGAAGAGGCAGGCAGCGGCGGTTGGTGGCGCGAGACTTTCCGCGCGCCGTGCGTGACGCGGCGTTCTGAGGGAAAGGGAAGGTCGGAGGAGGAGGAGGAACGAGGTGAAGGCGGGCGAGAAGAAGTAGCAGCGGCGGCAGCGTGTGACGCGGGCTTGTTGCTGCGGCGGCGGCGGCGGCGGCGGCGGCAGCAGCGGGGAGCAGCGCGAAGGGACGCGATGTGAAGCTTCCACACGGCCCGACAGGGCAGACGGCGGCGACGCCCGAGACGTGGCGAAAGGTGAGAGACCCGACGGAGGCGGCGGCTTCCCTGAACTCCCTCCCTTTGGGCGAGCAGAACAACTCTAACCCGCTGCCCGTTTCACCTGCCGCGCGAAGGGAGGCCCGCAGTAGTTCCGGGCCCAAAGCTTGTCGGTCTCCCGCACCCCCCCCCCCCGCCACACGGCGAGTTCCCGTGGCGCGCGGCTTATGTAAAGCTCACCTGCTGGCGGTTGGTGAACGGCTCCAGGGTCGGGCAGTCCCGGCTGCCGCCCTCCGACGAGGGTTGTGTGGTTGTTCCGTGTGTGCATGTCACATGGGGCCTCTTCCTCCGCTGTTGCCGTCGCCGCTTCAGACACAACACGCTCACAGCCGCACCGGGACGGGGATGCAGGCGCCGCTGCCTCTGCCGTTCCCCACGACAGCTCGCCCCTCGCCCTCGGCAGGAACGGCCTCCTCACAGATGGCAGTGATAAATGTTCCTGTCCTTAAGCGCTAGATAATGGTCTGCATCCCGCACACGTTCCAGAAGCCATGGCGGTGTCTGTAGCTTTCCATCACTGCAGTTGTCTGTCTGCAGCTTTCCACTAACCATGCTCGTCATGAGCTGCAGGCGCTAAACAGTGATGGGCAATTTGAGGATGTTGCACGGTGCAGCATGAGAAAGTGCGGCTGCTGGATTTTAAGGACCCAGAGGGAAGCGCGGTTATTTTTGACTTGTCTCTCCCTCCCGCTTCATAGCTTTGCTTTTCCTGGAAGCTTGGGGTTAGTTTGCTATTGTAAAATGAAGCAATGGTCTTGGAATTAAAAAGGACCGAGAGTGATGGTGAATACCATATGATTGGCACAAGCTAGATGCAACAGGATTTCAGGGCTGAATTTTTAAAAACAAATCCGGTTATCAAACTGTTTAAAGCTATTAACCAGACACAATTACTGTTTCTAGATGGTTATTTAAAAGCCTTCCAGTTTGCACATTTAAGTTCTATAACTCTAGCAGAGGGGGGCAAGATTCCTCATACTAATTATGCTGTCCCAAAAATTCAGAACAAAAATGTCAGACAAGGGACTTAGTACATATTTTTATTTGCTTTATCACTGCTGAGTACCAGAAGTTGTAGTTGGGCAAGATCCTTACAATAGCTTTGTTAAATTTAAGGTGATAAACAGATCACTGTAGACATTGTATTTACTGTCTTATTTATTTCAACATTTATACACTTACTATATTCCAGAATATCTAAACAAATTCTGGAGTAGTGATCAGTGAAAGATAAAGACAATAAATTGCTATATTAAAAAGTTTTTAAAATATAAAAATGATGGCTAGTCAATTTAGGAAGCTTCTTTAGATAATTTTTTTCAGCAGGCACCAGAAACAACACACGGTTGGTCCTTGCCCAATCTCCAAATGCAGGAAGCTCCACAGAAATGCAATGGGACTGCATCCCATTGAAGTCTGTTCCCTGAGTGTTCTTCATTTGAGAGGATTCATGTGGAAGCATCAAGATATGTTGTCTAATGAACTGAGTGATCAGGCACGTTAATAATGCTTCTTGTTAGCATCGTCACATTTTAAATGTTAACAAATTCTGCCATGGTTCTGTGATAAAATGGCCCTGCCTAGAACAATAATAGGGAAGATATGCCTTGGTATAGATGGTGCTGATATGCTCACAAAGCCAACACATTGAAACTGCACCTCTCAGAAAAGGTACAATATTGTTGTTAAAAATGATCTACAGCTATAGTGATCGTGCTACTTTTGCTTTCTTTGAAAAAAGTTAGAAAAGTTCTGGAAAAAGAGAGAAGCTTGGGGAAAAACATGAGGACAATTTGATAAGAACAGTAGTTCATAAAAAGTGAGTGAACAAAGTGGACAAACTACCTAATATGGAAGTGTCATTAACAAAGAGCTAGTTCTATGGAAAAGTTCAGGAACTGAGTAACAGTTGGTCCTTAAAAGACATATTGCCCCATGTATATGAAATATGTGAAGTAATGGTCATTGAGACTCAGGAAGGTTTTTATTGGTGAGTGAGAAAGATAACTGGGAAGCCAGGAGGGACTTTTCGAAGTTGTTTGTAGAAGGGCTGCCCATAGAGGTCCGTAGTTGTCAGGACTGTTGTACTGCAATCAGTCGTAGTAGGTGGGCTAAATAAAGGATATGAACTTAAATAATCTATTATTATCCTTGTACCGCATGCCTCTTGCAAAGAACTCAAGGTAGTTTACAAGGTGCTTCACCTCTGTTGTGTTCTGTTGGGTTATTTTCACAATCATAACCCCATGAGGTAGATTAGACTGAGAGTGTATGACTGGCCTAAAGTCACCCATTGAGCTCCATGGCTGAGTAGGAACTAGAACCTGGATCTCCCAGACCCCCATTCCAGCACTCAACCCACCAAGCCACACTGACTGTCTCATAAGTTATCCTTCAAGGCAACCCAAGAGGCAACTGAAAGATAAGGTATGACAACGCTTTGCTGTATGCAATAAAATTGTCTCCTGGCTGGGTCTGCACCAGAATTATGCATGATATATTTGCCCTTTATTGCTAGCTTTCTTCAATAACAACCTGAAGAAAAGCTGAACTAAAATGTATACCATTTTTTCATTTAAGATCATATATACTGCATGCGAGCTGTGCTGGATCAGACCAATGGTGTATCTAGTCAGTGTATCTAGTCCAACGTTTGGTTCACATGTGGGCAGTCAGTAACCCATGTGATTCCACAAGAATAAGTACAACAGCACCCTTCTGCCCAGCTTCCTCAGCTTGCATCCATGGACCACATCCATCTTTCAGTGAACTAACATTTTCAATTAGTTTTTTTGAGTCAGAATTTTCTCAGCTTGAAATAATAAATAAAATAATTTCCACATAAAGCTTTGAATGTCTTTGAATGTAACATTTAAACTATATTATGTGTTAATTTAATTTCCCTCAAAACTGAATAGTTCAGTTCAAAAATTTTGTAGCTATTGGGAATATTTTGGTATATTTATATTATACATAAAATTTTCATGGATTATACTTTAGTTATTGAGGGAGAATGTGTGTTGGGAGGTAAAAAGAGTCAACCAAACATGCTAAATCAGATAACATTACTTAGAGGATTGGGATATTTTCCAGAAAAATGTCCAGTTCTTTTTCCAGAAAATGCACATCACAGTGTATATGTGACAAATAACTAGGGGATCGTCTTACCACTTTTATTACTGAGCCTGTATGGTATAATGGACTAGGGAAATCCATTTTCATCTTCTTACTCATCCACAAAACTTAAGGGGGGTGCTTCCAGATGAGTTTTATTGTAGGAATCGATGCATTAGTATCTTCAATTTGGTATGCTCTGTATTTTCCTATTACTTCTTTAATCTTTTTTCTTATAGAAAAAATATCCGTTTGGAAGCACTGTGGATAGGTGACATTGGTCTAGTCACTCTCAGCCTAATTTATCCCATGGTATTGTGAAAATAAAATGAGGACAAACATGTAGTTGTCTAATGACAACTAGACTAGACAACTGAGTTCCTTGAAAGAAAAGTAGGAACAAATATTAATAAATATTTTGTTAAAGGTTCTTCTGAATCTACTGAAATAAGTCCATAACCCATATATAGCTTTAGCTGGGTGGGTAACTCCTAACCCTCCAGATATTTTGACCTGTAACTCCCATCAAAGCCAGCTGATATAACCAATGCTGAAGGATTACAGGCATTGTATGCCAAAATATCCAGAAAAGCAGAAGTTGTCAAATGGAGTAGATCTTTGCAATCAGACAAAGGAATTCAGTTACTGTATTGAGTGAGAGTGACTGATTCGTTCTCTTAATGCTCAAGTCTAGAACAAGGGAAATAATTTGTAGTATTTTGAATGTTTCCGTATATACAGGTCAAAGTATATAGACAAGGCAATATAAAATGTTTTCCCCCCTGCCAGTTGTTGCCACTTACCTGTGAAACTGTCAGAGCACTCATTGCTGCTGCTAAGGTGACTTTGATAAAGTTTACATAATGTGGCAACCCATAACCATGAAATTTCCCAGATTCCCCAGAATTATTCACATCTGTCAGTTTATTAGAAAGAAGCTATTCTTTGAATGGCTGGAAAAAGAAAGTTCTTGTGGAAAGGAGGTGGAAAGTAGATCTTCTGGAGCACCTAGAGGGTTGGAGGAGTGTAAAAAAGATGGAAAGCACTCATAAACTATGAGATATACTTTCAACCTCTTTCAAGCTAAAAACCCCCTTTGCCACTTCACTATGAATGTGGCAGTTCATCAGCTGATAGCACAAATTAACCTATACGATCCTCTTAGTCAGTGTCCATGGATGTTTGCTACTTTTCTTTGACAGCAGGCATTGGCCAGGCACTTCACATTTCAGGCAGCCATAAACGTATACCTGAGCAAGACTAGGAAAAAATGATGATCTCAGTTGTTCATATTTCTTACATCCCTCCTCCTGACAAAGTGTAGATGCTCAGTGGTGTTCTCTCCAAAGTGCTGCACTAAATGAACAAATCATAAAACGCTCATTTTTAATGTGTGGCTGCAGTTGGTCAAACCTATAAGCATAAGCTCTTCTTGCAAGGAATGGGCTCTCAGTAGCAGTAGTATTCCTTCACCCTCCACTTTATAACTTTTCTAAAGCTATTGTTGCGTGCTATTGTTGTTTCCCTTCAGAGGTCAGAGAGTGCCTGGTAAGTCAAGCACTGGCTGCAGGAGCAGCTTGATTTGTTGTTGTCTTGTAGGGCTGGCTGGAGGTCAGGATGAACAAGTAGCATGTGGCTGCAAAGGTGCGGGAAGAAAGACCTCATAACTGCTTTAGCCAAATTAACCAACTCTTCTCTCTCTAGAACAGATCCTTCTGTTTATGCCAGTTAACACCCAGCCCCTACTTTTGGGAGGCATGTAAGCTGAGCCACTCAGAGGGAGCACTGCTTCCCTGGTGGTAGTGGGTGGTGGAAAACCAGGAAAGGGCATTTTAGGTTCCTTTGGTCTAATCAGCTTCTTGAAGTAATTGTGTGGATAAGAATTATTGAATAGTTTGTTAAATTATTAATAGTTTTTAATTGCAAAAGGGAAACAAAGAGTAATAAAGTAGTTCATGAGTTCTGAATACAGGGTATCAAAGTGGCAGTCATGGGAAGGGAATCTCTGTACCGTACACTAATAGTATTTGATTATGGATTCCCAAAGTAAAGTAACTTAGCATATAATTTTGTTGTTAATTAATGTTTATGCTACTCAGATTACTTGACTTCATAGGGAATTAATATCAGGCAGGCTGTGGCAGGACCAGTACTGTTACTTTCTCGTTTAGACCCCCTGGAGAAAATAGCAATTGACTCATTTTCTAACTTCATATCATAAGTAATGGAGTTTGAGTTATAGTGAAATGATGCAGAGGTGGGGCAGCCCTCATCCATCTCTGCTTACCAGTCTGGACTGATATTCCCTAGCAGTTCTAGTTGCAGCAGTGGGGTTAAGATTCCAGGTGGGTATTGGATCCTATGTCCTGAGCTTGCCCCCACCTATAACAGTTTCTGAGAAGACAATTAATTGGCCCTTTATTGTGGATGTTATGCATTCAGCCCTCGGAAAGCGCAGTGATATCTTGAATTGTCTCTACCTTTGGAGATAAAGGAAGAATAGAATTGTCTCCAAAATTGTGCTATGGTTTGGCAAAACAGTGCAGGGGTGATTTACTCCCTGATCACAATTTTGAAAAGAAACCTGAGCTAGGTTTTGTTTTTATTTTGGAGCTATATTTCTGTAGTGCCTTGGAATGCCTTGAAAACACAGAGCCTGTGCAATCCCCAGCCCCCTTGGTCAGCTTGTTCACTAATAACACAGTTGCAAAAACAATTCCTCACTCTAAGGCCAGTGCTGGGCTTGCCTCTGACCCAGTGTTGCATTTCAGAAGACATCATGAGGTCAGAAAGATGGGGGAGGAGCAAGGTTTCAACATCCTCCAATTTAGGGTTAGCTATTCAAAATGTGTGGGCACCTGCTTTTATCTAACCTTCTTTGTGCTCTTCTCCAAAGTTCTCCATCATCAAGTTTATACTTGCATACTCCATGGTGCAAAAGTATCATAGTGTAGTCTCATGGAATGTTTTTTGATATTTGGACTGTGTTTCCTTGCTGAAGCTAACACACACTTGAAGTGAACGTTAGTTCATAAAAATTATAATATATTTAATTTTTAAAGTGCTAAAATACTGTGTTGTTTTCTGCAACAGACTAACATAGCGCTCCCTCCCTTCCTTCCTCTGATAGAACTGTGCAGTGGTACTAAGTTAGGTGATATGTCCTGTAACTGGAGTTACAGTGGATCTGGAGAAGACAATCAATAGGGCTCTGCATTGATTCTTACTGTTGTGTATTTATTTAGGATAGCTATTTCAGTGTCTTAGCTTTATGCTGATAAGGGAGAGACACCTGGCTTTGGAAGAGGATTAGATTCTAACCCTGCTCAAGACTGTTTTCCCCTTTCACCAGCAGTTGGAAATCATTAACTGTATGAATGGTTTCATGTTCAGTTGGTTCCTAAATTACTTCCTTGCTCTACTAGGGGAGCATATGTACATAATGCCAACCCATACAGGTAATAAGGTATAGTGGACTGGTTGTTGGTAAAACAACCCACATGACACCTGAGAGGGACACATAGGGATTTTGGCCCCCTTTCGTCCTGCTTGGTCCTCACAAGGGTATCTCAGGGGGCACTTTGAGTGGACCAAGTTGTCTCTCTCTACCTCATGCTCATAAGCTCTTGATGTTTCATAACATCCATTTTAATAGCTACTAACAGCCTTTTAAAGTATCCAGCTGTGCCTTGGAGGGACTGCCCATGGTTGTAAAACTTTTTTCCAGTTCTAATCCCTAATTTTCACAAATATTTGTGAAAGTTGTTTTAAAATCTGCACTTGTGCAAATGAGGATGGCTACATTTATGCAGGTATAGGTACTAAGGAGCCTTGGATGAGAAACGTGCATAGCTGCTTGCCGGCAAAGTCCCGCAAAACCAATATTTTTTGGTACGATATTATGCAGATATATATGCCTCTATAATGTTTTCCCCAATCTTTTTCTTAATCCTTTCTAAATCTCACATTACAAATGAGGCTTTACCTTTTATAGCTATCAAAGGCATTTTTTTTCAATAAATGGAGTGGCTCATACATTTACATGATCCCAGCGTGGTAAAATCTCAGGAGCAAATGCAAAAGTTAAAACACATGAATCCAACCCCCCCACACACACACACACACAACACAAAACCAAAACAAAACTATGCAGATTTTGCTACCACTTCCTTTACACAGATCCAGATAACTTGTGCTTTTGGATACACTTGACAGCTTGCCTTTTGATAGCTGTCAGATGTAGCCATCAGGGAAGATAAGTTTGCCTGCTTCCTGAGGAATCTCCTTTCCTACACCCATGAAACAGATGGTAAAAATTAAAAATAAATCAATTGAATATTTGCTGAAGTAACAGGGGACAAAAAGGTTTTTTTAATAGTTTGTCAGCAGAGGCAGTCCTGCCAAGGTGCTGCTGGAGTGCTTTCCAGAGTACCTTGGACTCATGAGCAGTCAAAATGCTGGGAACTGCAAAAACTGGAGTGACAGATGGCTGTTGTGATATCAGGGGAAAAAATTTAAAGTGAAAGAAAGCTGCAGTGAGCCTGAAATGGTCCATGTTCCTAGCAGGGAGGGTGAGAAGCCAGTGCTTGTGCACTTTTTGGATGGCTGGCAATGGCAGTCACCCAAGGCCACTTGGCAAGAGAGGCAAGGGGACTGCTGCTCTTGACAAGAGGCTCAGTAGCCAGTTCCCTGAACCAACAGTTGTGTTTGTTTGGGTTTGGACAGTAAGACAGTCCATTGTGTGTATAACAGCCCCTGCTAGAACCCATGGGTTGCCAAGGTAGCTTGTCTGCCTTGTGAGAATTGGTTTGGAATTAAATGATGTGACAACATAGTATTGTCCACCGCTATTTTGTTGTGCTATCAGCCAAATGAAAAACTATTTTGGAAGAATGTGCCAGTAGAATGGAGAAAAACATTAGGTTAAAGCATTCTTTCCCAACCTTAAAACCTTTCATTTCTGTTATACTCTAGTTCTGATAGCCTCAGCTACCATGGTTAGTGGTCAGGGATGCTGGGAATTGTGGTCCAAAACATGAAGAAAGTTGAGTTAAGGTTGTCCCATTTTGTTGACTGTGAGCACTCTGAGAGGGTTTTGGTTTTGGGTTTTTTTATCTGTGAAGTCTATACACATGTACATCAATATTTTTACAGTTACATTTGATGCATCATTTTGTCTTATAACGTCTTCCCAATTTAGAAATTTGTGGTTCATATGCATATTTCTGGCTGTGCATTTTCAAATATTATAGTGTTCGTATTGAAAATACTGTTTTTTCCTTCCAAATTAGAAGTTTCAATATGAAGCAAGGTGCATGGAGAAAACGAGCCAGTGACAGAGATGGCTGGGGTTCATGGGTATGTTCAAATTGAAAATACTTTAATGAAAGTAGCTGAAATAACTTAAGGAAAGTTGCTTGCTTTTTTTGCTGGGGTTTAACCAGTGTTAATATATATCATTTCTATAACACAGCCAAACTCTATTCACCTCTGATATGTTCATAGAGGCTCAAGTTGTATTTTCCAATGTATTTGGCCAAGAAAATTACCCAGTTTGTTTTTCTTTGATTTCAGAATCATGTTAAAGCAGTTTCAGTTTGCCTACAAAATGTTTGTCTGATTACTCTACTTGTTTTTTGCACACCAAAAACTAAACGGATATCAAGTCCTTTCAAAAACAATATCTAATTAGGACTTTCAACCTGGTTGATTAATTTCTGTAATTAGATACAATATAGTCAAATTATAGACTTTAATAGTATTTTATTTAAATTCAAGGGAGGATATATGTCTGCCAAGGTCCAGAAACTGGAGGATCAGTTCTGTTCAGAGGCGGCTATGCAACATCAAAAAGATGAAACTTTATCCAGTATCTTCAGTGGAGTTGCCATCTATGTCAATGGTTTTACAGGTGATATTTTCATTCTCTTAAACCATGATAGGCAATCTTTTCAGACCCATTGGGACAGTGACAGTCTTTTTCAAGGTCTATGGGCACACGTGACTTTTTTTCAGAGCACATTTTATTGCCCCTCCTTCCTGAATTACTACTTTTTTACCCCTTTCCTACTCCTCTTCCTTGTTTGGGGTTTCCTTCCCCAGTTGCCTCTTACTTCTCCCATCACCTTTTCTTTCTCTTCCTCCCCACTCCCACTGCTTTTGTCTCTTTCTTGTTGCCTCCCCACCTCACTCATGCCCATCATATTTGCCAATAATTCTGCCTTTCACTGCACTCATCCCAGCTCCAAGGAAGGAGGAATTTGACAAATTGGGCAGTAAGTCTCCTAATTTTGCCAATTTTTTCATTCTTAATATGGTGGAAAGGAACATTACAAGTGTTAGTGGGGATGACTGAGGGGAAAATTGGGGGTCTGACAGGTGCACTTAGGAGTCCAACTTGCCTGACTATATTTGTTTGTTCTCTGCTGTTGTGTGATCAGAGATGACCTAAAACGCTATGCCTAATCTGACAACCCTCTGACACTACCTGGTCTGACAGTGAATTGGGGGAATATTTATTTTTCCAATTTTTATTTCTTCAGAAGTGAGATTTGTTCAAATGTTAATTCAGTTTGACTTCAAAACAACTACTAATGTACCCTAAACAAACAAAAATTTTATTTTTTGAGGAGGGGGAATATATCAGTGTCATGATACAACACAAGCTTTTTGATGTATGAGATAGTAATTGCAAGGGATTCCTGTGTAATACTGAACTAATTTGCTTTTAAAATTATTATTAATTTTATTTTATATTGCCCCACAGCCAAAGCTCTCTGAGCAGTTATAAATTTTATAAATATAATTTAATTATAAAATTATTTCAATTTTAAGTCTCAAAAGAGTCCCTCTGAGGTGATATACAGCATTCAGACAATCAACATTATTTAATAATTATATTTTTATACCACACAATAACTTAAGCTTTCTGGGTGGTTCACAAAAATGTAAAACAATTTAAAAACATGAAATGCAGTAAAATTGAATGGTTAACACTACAGTATAAAATAAAAGCAAGAAACAGAGCAAAGCTTAGTAGTAGTAGTAGTACAAAGATTTAAAATACAATATAAGATTTAATACAGACTGAAACTAAAATTCCTAAAAAATAAGATCTTTATCTGACACTGGAAAAAGTACAATGTAGGTGCTAGGTGAGCCTCTCTGGGAAGTTCATTCCATGGCTGGGGTGCCATAACAGAAAAGGGCTTCTTAGTAGCCACACACCTGACTTCACTTGGCAGGAGCTCCTTCAGAAAAAGACCACTGAAGATGACCTTATGGTCCAGGCAGATATATATGGGAAGAGATAAATCATTCAGGCAACATGGTTCAAGCCATTTAGGGCTTTGACTGTTAATGCCAGCACTTTGAAGATGTGGACATGGACTGGCAGCTAGTGATCATGAAGTATTGGTCTAGTATGTTCATGCTGATCGGTTCTTGTTTAACAATTTTTCTGCCCTTTTTGTGACCAACTGAAGTTTCTGGGCCATTTTCAAAGGCAGGCCTATGCATAATTCATTGTTTATTCCAACTCAGTGGTTTAAATTATAAAAGCAAGAGAGTATGTATCAGGCTGCTGCTGAATACATACAGATTATATTATATATTTTAAAATATGTATTTAGAACTTAACACAGCACAAAATATCCTGTAACTTTTACCTTGTTTAACACAGGAAGTATTCATTAATCATTATTGAAAAACCTAGCCATTTGTGCTTGGAATAAAGCACATTTTTCACTTCAGTTTTTTTAAAGCTAATTTGAGTTTGGCTTTCATCAGTCTCTCTGTTTTCATTACTTCTGTAGCCAAAATGGCACACACAAGGGAGATATCGACAGGATTTCTGGAACTACCAAGATTTGCAAAAGTACCCCCCCATTAAAAAAAACACAGCAGGGGAAATGGCTAACAAGGGCAGAACAGAAGTAAAAACTGACTTAGCATTTACAGCATGCCAGAGTTGGCCCTCTCACATGATGTAGCGAAGTGTTTCAAGCACAGGTGCAGGAAGAGTAGTTAATAGCACACTCCCTTCCTTCACAGTTAATAGGATATCCACCACCTGCTGCCACACAACTCCACTAGTCACTCTCCCACCATGACATTTATTGCTATGCATTGAGGAGTGGTATCTTGGGAAGGCATTTCAGGCTATTTTTGAAGAACCTCAAAGTTGTTTCCTTTGGTCAATACAACTGTCTAGAAAGACTGTCCTCTAGTTTGTCCAACGTGACAGTGAATGGGGAGGGGGCAATTTGGCAGAGGAAGCAAAGATAGTAGGAAGAGGGTGATACAGTATTTGCATGTGCTTTCCCACTTTAGGTAGCAGGAGAGCTTGAGCAGGAGGAGTGGTATGCTATGTGTAAATTTGGAAGAGGGGAGATGGAAAACCAGGTGGAAGGGGAGATGGTGTTTCATGGAGGAGAGTACCACATTATAATATTTTGTTGCAGATCTCATTTATACACGTAGATAATAAACTCATTTTCTTAGTATCCTGTAGTCTCATAATTTGTCTACTCCTTATGTGCCAAGACTGCCATCACCCATAAAAAGGTGTTAGTTTGGAGGAACCTTGGCCACTGAAATGAGAGGGAGGGAGAATGGAATGCATTATCCTAGAAAAGACTTAGCCAGATTAGAATAAAAGATTTTCACCCTGCAAATTTTCACCATTTTGTTGCAAATAGAGAATGGAAAACAAAACATTAAAACTGGTTTCCATAGTAGCAGTTGGTGGTAGTTTTGTTAAACATATAGTGATAGTTACTTTATTGACAGAAGTAAATCACTGAAACATATCTCTATTGAGATTATTTAATGAGGATTTAAAAATAATACAATTGACTGATTAAAAGGCATATAATTAATGTTTTTAATACTTTGGCAGTTCTGTGTTACCCTCATCTACTTTATACCAGTTAGTCTAGGAACAAGTCTTAAACAAAAACATTATATTGTGTATTTTTTTGCTTGCTTCATGATTTTGGTAGTTAAATATTTTAACTCATGTTTCAGTGTTTTGCAAATTTATTGCAGATCCTTCGGCTGATGAACTGAGGCGACTAATGATGTTGCATGGAGGGCAATATAATGTATACTATTCTAGATCCAAAACAACACACATTATTGCTACAAATCTTCCAAATGTCAAAATAAAAGAACTCAAAGGGGAAAAAGTAGTTCGACCAGAATGGATAATGGACAGGTAAATACTGGAGAATTATGACCAAGCTGATCATTCAGTTTAAATGTTCCAGATAGACATCTTCATTTGAAACACTATCTTTTTGAATCGCATGGCTTCAAATTTAGGCATGTTCAGCTAGCCCAACAAAAACCGATTTTCCTGCCTCATCTTCTCTGTGGTGGCCTTTCATCCCCCCCCCCCCAATGTACAGAACATCAAGGGAACCTGGTGGATGAAAGTAAGGTTGCAGGAGAAGGGGGGCTGATCTGTGGCATTTACCCTCGTTTGGAGGTTCTTTCCAAAGTTTACAGAATTACCAAAGGTTATAGAATTAAATATTATAGAATTACCAAACTTGTCAAGAGAAATGACCGTAACAGCAAACTTACACAAACAGTTTAGTATTCATTGACATGTTACAGGTGTGTTTGACAGAAAAATATTTCCTTGATCGCTTCCTATCTTGTGAGCTTGTTTCCTCATTACATATCTTGTATTTTATCATCTGGGATAAGCTGCCTGGTTATTTTATCTGATAACAACTTGGCTTTGTTTTAAAATTAATTGCTTTGTGTAGTACCTTTATTACAGTGCTAAGAAGAAGATTTCACTATAAATTTTACATAGTGCAGTCTGCAATGGCCTGGTGTTGCTGTTTCTCACCTAGTGAATCTCAGAGTTGAGACAGCTTTATAACTTGGGAATCAGGAGCCCAAGCTAGGTTGCATTAGCAATTAGAATCCCATTTTTAATGTCAGAGTTCTCTTGTAGGCATTTGATTGTAGAATTTCCTAATTGACTAGCAGAGATTAGTTGAAGAAAGATTTGTCTTATCTGCCACAAATCCACTGCAAAAAATAAACAAAACTGAGAGGAAGCACCATGTGTGAATGGATCTGCTGGGAAGAGGAGGAGCTGGGAAGTCTGCTTTCACAAGCCCAGCTGTAGATGTTTAAATCTGGATCCAGCTCAGTAAGGGAATAACAATTTTAACAGCTTCAACTAATAAAACTAGATGGTTAACAGGCTTATGGATTAAAATTAATTTTATAATTTGTTGTGAATAGTTAAATTGAGTAAATAGCAAAACCAACATTGAACAATAGTTATATTGCTGAAAATATTGTTGGCTGTGTACGTTATAATACACATTTTTAAGGTAATGATGATGAAAGTAATAGTTTTAATAGAATTTACAATCTCCCTTCTGGAAAATATTAAAATTGCATGTTGTTATTTATATTGTAAATAATGAGTTGTCCAGATAAGTATACCTTCTAAATCTGTTTTGTACTCACAAGTATTAAACTTTATTGGATTAACTGTACTATTTAGAAAGTAAAAATTATTTTACTGAAAAGTCGTCTGAATTGTACTGAACTCATTGAGAAAACAAATGATCTGTATTTGAGAGTACCCCATTGTAAGAGATATGATTACACCATTCCCTTTGAAACCTGGCCACATAAATGCTAACAAATCCTTCGTTTGTTTAATTAGGTAATATGATCTTACTGTAGTTTTCTTAATTGCAGTATATATTGGCTTTTGATCGTTTGCCAAGCTTCTTGTTAGTGTACAGACTGAAGATAGATGGGAAACACACTATAACGAATTAAGTGTTAGTGGTATTACGATTTACCTATGGATTTCCCAAGACCTTGCATGATTACACTCCTCTCATGCATAACAGGGACTTGGCTGTATTTATTGCAACATAACCCCTCAGAGAGCATCCTAGTGTTGCAGGTGGGAGTTGGAAAAGAAGCTGCACTTTATTCTAAAACTTAAAGATTAACAACATAGATTGAACAGTAATGTTTCACTGAAAAGATTATCTGAGAGATAAGAATTCAGACATGCAGCAATATTTGTTAGGTGTTGCACAGAAGCATGTAAAAAAATCAAAAGTGTATAAACTGTTAAACCCTTGTAGGGTAATGTATAAGAAAAACCGCCTTCCTCTCTTCCCTAAACGGACAAAAATAAGTTATATTTGGGTGTTTACTTTCTTATAATTAAAACTGCTTGGTGAGAGGGAAATGGGGACATATTTGCTTATATAACCATGGCTCATCTTTGTTGCCTTCAACACACTGGAGTGAGAATATCTGAAGTGGGGAAGCTTCTCAATATAAAAGTTCCCTGTTTCAAAAGTTGCCCCTCAAGTATGTGGAAGGTGATAAGAGCCAAGTGATGGGAATGTGAATGGGGGGGGGGGGCGTTAAGGCCACTCTCCTCATTCAACTGAAATTGCATGAATAGTTGAGTAATAGAATAGTGTTTAAAAAGAACTGTTTCTCTGGTTCCCAAGCAATGTGCTCCCTGCCATCATATGACAACCCATTTCTAGAGCAGAACATAGTTAGTGGAGCAGGGAATGGGCCTAATTTTCTGGGCTCTGTCCTACACTACTGATGCTTGTAAATCAATAATTTTCTTCAGGAACCCTCTTTAAAGCCAAGGTTTGGAATAGACTTTACAGGTTCCACCAGATGTTTTGAACTGCAGCTCCCAGCAGTCCCAGTTAGTATTGCAAATAGTCAAACATTATTTATGTTGCAGTCAAAAATATCTGGAGAAGTTCAGGTTGGAGAAGGCTATGTTAGAACATCCAAAAATTTTCCAGCACAGTAACTATTGTTTGCTATATAAAGTAATCAGACAATGAAGTGACTGGCAGGGCTCTGGGCAAGATAATTTCTTGGAGGGGGACTCTTCTTGCTTCCTGCCAGCCAACCCATCATGTTTGCTTTCTGTCTGAGTGGCTCTTACCATCTTCATGCTGGTATACTACTGAATGAAAGCAGCCCTGGTGAAGGCTGTTGCTCTGTGTGCACACCATTTTTAAATTACAATTTTATTTGTTGTGTTTATTTTACTAAGTACGATTAGTAATACATTGAACCAATCAGACCCTGCATTTATGGCTGTGTTGCAGACCATGAGGGAGGATAGCACTGAGAGAGTGGTTCTTTCACTACTCATTGACCAGAGCTCCCAAAAGCAGCATCTGATTGAGTATGCTGCTAATTAAAGTAAGTAAAATGATAAAATGGTTATTTAAAATTGGGTGCATGTGGCTGCTACTTTCACTGATGGCTGCTATAGCAATTGAGTGGTATACTGACAGGAAGAAGAGGAATTGCTGCTCCTGCAGCCACAACAAGTCCTGTTGCAATCCTGTTGCAGCTACCGGATGGGCTGTTTGGGAGCATTCTCACACCATGGGATCTCAGAACCACACCATGCTCCAGGTTCTAGTCCCAGTAGCGTCTCTGCTGGAAAGAAAAGAATTGTGATAGTAATTCAAAATATTCAATGCAGTAAAAAAATCCCCTTCTTTCCCACAATCCTAAATAAATTAATGAAAACAAGTCATACAGAACTTTGGGATATTCCCATCTCTCTTAATGCTTTAAGAATAGGATAAAATTATAAAGACTGCTAATTCTAAAATCCATGATCAGTTAATATTCTCACATTTTGTTACAGCATAAAGGCTGGACGGCTCCTTTCATACATTCCATATCAGCTTTACACGAAACAGTCGAGCACTCAGAAAGGGCTCTGGTATAATATTATATGCAAACCTGAAGATCCTGTCCCAGGTCCTAGCAATATCTCTGTGGAGCTCAACAGGGTGTAAGTAATTATTTTGATTTACTCATTCAGATTAAATTGGAGATTGATCATTTTGAGTGGGCTATCTCAAAAATAGTTCTTTGACTATCTCAAGGTACATCTCAAGGTATACTTGGAATCCCATTCCACTGAGTTCTAGTCAGTCATTCTTAATTTCTCATTTGTACTTTGTGATGGTGATAATAATTTCTCATTTGTACTTTATTTTCCATATGAAGGTACTTTTAAATTGATTGACACAAGAAAGAAGCCTTCCAAATAAGCATTATAGGAGAGTAACCCTAGAATCCCTGGGTGGGTGCCTCAGGGAACATAGGATTGTTTAGAGTCACCCTAAAGACTGCACCTTGGTGTTTAGTCATGCTGGCCACATGACCATGGAAACTGTCTGTGGACAAACACTGGTTCCCTCGGCTAGGAAACGGAGATGAGCACCACCCCAAGAGTCAGACATGACTGGAATTTAACGTCATGTGGAAACCTTTACTTTTTAAAAGAGTGCTACAACCTTAGGAGGACAACTCTGAGATAGGATTCCTCCCCCCACTGCCCGCCCATAACCAGCATGGAGAGAACTGTGCTGGCTTTTTCATAGGCCACATTCCTGAAAAGGAGATATTACAGTGGGAAGAGAAAAAAGTATATTGTGGCCTTTCCAGTCCCAGTCCAGTTACTACTGCCTCCTGTAAATTGGCCCGAAGGTCCATCTAGTAGAAAAAATGTAAAAAGGACAGAAAGCTGAAACCTCCATATTCTTACCCTGCTGGAAAAAGCCTGCCACAGCAATGGATACGCTGAAACATCAAAGATTAGATGCTTCTGTTTAGCAAAAGTGAATCCCAGAGAATTGCCCCCTTCAAATACAATCCTATAGTCATTTACCAGAGAATAAGATCTATTGTATTAGATATTATAGAGTGGAACTCTCCATTGTACTCTTGTACAATGGGTATATATGGGTCCTTCCACCAATGATACAATTTTATTACAGTATTGTAATAAGCTAATATCCAATACATCACACCTATATCTTGACCTTTGTTGACCTACTTGGGAAGTAGGGCAAATTATGCAACTTTGCTCCTGCTAGTCTGCCCATTTCTCTTGCTAGTTAGCAGCTTTATAACATGCTACTGCATTGTTTATGCTAATGATGTCTGTTTCCAGCATTGCTTTAGAGTGTATTCTTAACATGGTTCTTATTGTGACGTCTTTGGGATGCCCCAGGTCAGTCTTACACTGGAACACTAATTTTTTTATACTATGAATCATCATGTCAGTTCTGAAATTCATTTACTATATTTAAGTCAATGTTTATTCCACCTTCTTGCTTAACGTTCCCAAGGCTGCTTGCAATTAATTAAAAAAATTAAAGCTCATCATTAAAATATAATGAGCCAGAGACAAGATAGCAGATAACAAATTATCAAATTAAATGAAATACCTGCCAGAGTAAAAATAGCTTGTGGTGGCATAAAGATAATGATGAGGGGGTCAGACAGATATCCCAGGGTAGGGAATTCAGCAGCCTGGGTGCAGCCATGCATCCTTGTCAAACATGTCTCAGATATAAGTAGGAAAAGAAGCTGCACCCAGAGGGATTGCTTTTAGTATTGCCATTTAGAAGGCATTGGCTCTAATTTCATATTTTCCTCTAATCTTCTGTACAAAAGATGGCTGAAATAGAGGAAAAACACAGATTGTAGGGATGAATGAGAAACTTTGTCATCTAGACTCCATGTTCAATTCTGTGAATGAGGTAGGGCAATGGAATGGTAATAGCTTTGTTGGCAGATCTCAGAATTTTTACCTACTGGACTGATAGGATCATGTGGAAAGAGATGATCCTTTTGGTATCCTGATCCTAAAATACTGAGGGCCTTATGGACATACTGCACCAGACCTGTGCAGGCTACATTAGTTGCCAGGCCTAATTAAAAGTACTTACAATAACATATAAAGTCCTAAATGGCTTGGGGCAAGGGTACTCCTATGTGAGGGAGCACTTTTCTCTATATGTAGCAACCAAATCACTGAGACCCTGAACAGTCATAGATCAAAACTCTGAACAGTCATAGATCAAAACTCTTGCTCTAGCATATGCACCAGCAACTAATTCAAAGAACAGCTGCATGGTTCCCAGAAATCTGATGTAAAAGGGAGAGAGCCAGATATCATTAACATGTTGATGACAACACTTTTCATATACCCAGATGATCTTCTCCAGCTGTTTCATGTAGGTGTTAAACATCATAGGAAATAAGATGAAATAGCAGGAATGTTCTGTTATTTCTGTCTTCCTGACTCTCTCAGAGAGGCACATTCAGAGGTCTTCAGAATAGAAGAAGATTACTGGATTTGTACTGTAATAAAGAGAAGATAAAAATGAAATTGAGAGAATGTCCTTATTTTTTTTCTCAAAAAGCATTACATCTAAAGTCCTGTTATTTCCCTCAATTTCTGTATCTGTGCTAGACAGAGAAGTATTTTCTCTATTTTACTTTCTGATTTGGAGAAAAAGACAAATAGCTCAACCACCTGGTTTCTTTTTTTTAAATTGTAGTGCTCAGCAGTTTGGGGGATGGAATGTGGGGCTGCAGGATGTCCTCATTACCAGCAGATAGAGGCATTCTCACCTGATGAACTGCCAGATAGATTTATAGATGCCTGGGGAATAGTGTTTACTGAAAATGCAATTAGTCAATCCTCCTCTAGTTTGCTGAAAATTCAATTAGTCAACCCACTTCTAGCCATGGTTGGTACAGTATACATGCCAGGTGGTTAGCCATTACCGGCCAATCTGTATGTTAATTTAAATTGCTTTCACTGGGTGTATCTTGGTTCTTTTGCATTCCAGGAATCAACAGGCTTTTTAGATTCCTGATGTTAGTGTTGTTTATACTGATGTAGTTACTTATTTTAAGTGAATTTTTTTTCACCTAAAAACATTTAGCATTGCTAGATGTTATTTTGAAGTATAGTTAGTCACATACATGGGTGATACTCAAATAGAGATGATTTGCAAAAGAACAAAATGTGAAAAGCATATATATGCCAAAAAAAATTAATAGGGTTTTCACAAAGCAGAATATTTGCCCAGGTGAAATAATTTCTAACCTTGCCATAACATGAGCAAAACAATGCAGCAGTCATGACATGCTTATAAAAAGAGGAGCTGGTTTATGATGAGGTCCATTTTGTGCTCATTTTATTTCAAAATGATAATAAAATAATTTTGAATAGAATATTCATGTCAGAATACTTCTTAGAGCACAGTATAAGAATATTGTTGAAAATATCAGACATTGTTATGCATTTTTCTAGAAAAAAGGAGAAAATTTCTAACGTTCACAGGTGGAGAAACGATAACATCTTCTAGGAAAACCAAACCAGAATGCATAGATAGTTTATTTTTAACACAAAGCAATTTACAACATACAGAAAAACATATATGGATATCTAATTGAGGAAATCTTTTAAGAAGCTTATTTAACCATAGTCTAAATTGAACAATTCTGTAATAGGTTAACTTTGTCATGCTCTAAAGCAGTGATGGTGAACCTTTTAGAGACTAAGTGCCTTCACTGCAACCCAAAACCCACTGCAACCCAAAAGTGCCAACACTGCAATAAAACCTGAAAACTGAGGTGTTAGTTTAGAAAAAACAACTCACAGCCGGTCCAAGCATATATATATCTCCTTGGCAGCGCACTGACCAGCCATGTGAAAGTTCAGACGAGTTGCACCTAATGAGTTGTAACTCATGATATCATCCCCTGGCACCACTACTCCTTTCCGAGCATGCGCATGGCCACTATCTGCATTGTTATCCGATGCTCGGCTGCTGGGGTGATACTGGAATGACTTGGCTCATGTACCGACGGACAGGGCTTTCCATGCCCACTGTGGCATGCAGGCCATAGGTTCACCACCATTGCCCTAACCCTACCCTGGTGCACTCCCCTAACCCTAATATAGGGCTAACATACCACTGAAGGGGGCAATTTTGAAAAAGCCTTCCTTGAGCAGCTTTTCCTGCACAGCTTATCATTTCTGCCCATTCTAAACACATTCCGACCATCAAAATCATGCCAGGTCACCCCTTTTTGTAACCCTAACCCTACCCTGGTGCTCACCCCTAACCTGAATATATGGCATAAGTTCCATTGAAAAGAGGGTGATTTTGAAAAGCCTTCCTTGAGTTGCTTTTTCTGCAAAGCTCAACATTTCTGCCCATTCTAAACACATTCCAACCATCAAAATCATGCCAGGACACCATGCTTTTCTAACCCTGCCCTGGTGCACACCCCTAACCCTAATACAGGGTGAAAGTTCCATTGAAAAGAGGGTGATTTTGAAAAAGCCTTCTTTGTGACAGCTTATCATTTCTGCCCATTCTAAACACATTCCAATCATCAAAATCATGCCAGGACACCTCGTTTTTCTAACGCTAACCCTGTGATGGTGAACCTTTTAGAGACCAAGTGCCCAAACTGCAACCCAAACCCACTTATCGCAAAGCGTCTACACTGCAATAAAACCTGAAAACTGAGGTTTTAGTTTAGAAAAAACAACTCACAGCCAGTCCGAGTATACACACACACGCACACACACATATCTCTGCCTGGCAGTGCACTGACCGGTCATGTGAAAGCTTGGGCGAGCCGTGGCTAATAAGTCGCGGCTTGTGATGTCATTGCCTGGTGCCGCTTCTCCTTTCTGAGCATGTGCATTGCCCCTATGTGTGCTGTTATCCGATGCTCGGATGCTGGGGTGATGCTGAGGTGACTTGGCTCGCGTGCCAACAGAGAGGACTCTGTGTGCCCACTGTGGCACGTGTGCCATAGGTTTGCCACCACTGGTCTAAACCATACTTTGAAAGATCACTATAAATGACTAAAAGGGCTGTACTATTACTAGCTTTGACTATTCCACCTTGGGTGACCCTACTAGGAGACCATCCTTGTGAGGCAGTTGGGCCACATGGCAGCATTGCTGTCAGCTTCTCTGACACTCAGAATCCCTCACCTTGGGAAGGTGTCCATCCAAGAATGTGTTCCCTTTCTAGTCAAGTCTACATTATTATTTTCAGTTAGCAAGTCAATAGGACTGTTCACACTTAATGCTCTTTTACCTTCTTTCCTGGGATCACATATTTACATGGTAACTACTTATGAATAGTTTCCACGTACCTCCAGCTTTCCTCCAAATTCCAACACATATTCCATCAGCTCCTGCAGCTGGGAATCAATTCTAGGGTGCCTTGGTCCTGTCTGTCCCATCTGCATCTCCTCCATTGGCCCAAACACGCCCCTGGGAATAACTTCAGCAGGCTGCTCATGTTCCCCCCCCCCCCCCCCTCCCGTTCCCCCCCGCCCGCCCCCTTTGGGTCGGAGGGTTCCTCTTTGGGGGCAAGACACCCCCCCCCCCCCCATTACTGCCACATTCTATGCCCTTGCAGAAAACCACCCAGACATGCACACCCTCTCCCACTACCTTGCTGCACATGTGCTCAACACTTTCCCACACCCATGTTCAGAATTTGTACATGGTGCTGAGACTGTTTGGCTTGTAGAGGACAAAGGTGCAGGCACTGGGACTAGGGACAGAGGGAACATACCCTGCCAGTCAGACTTCCCTGAAGGTGCCCTCATGAGCATCTGCCTTGAAAACTCTGCCAGCATGCTGTCAGGGAGGGGCAGGGCTACTGGGGATTTCCCTGGATTGTTTTGGTGTGTGTTTTGTGACAGCTATAAAATGCATAATTAAAACCTCTTGAAAATGACTCAGTGGCTAATAAATACCCTTCGCAGTATGTTTCTACTCAGAAACAAGATTTATTGGGTGTAGAGGTCCTTAATCCCAGCCAAATAAGTATGTAAAGCTTTGCAGCCAAAAGGTAGAAATGTTCAAATACTGGTTTTACATCTGTATTGTGCATTTTCTGTCTTTTAGAAATTGTTTAGTAAAGAAGTGTGAACTAGAGAACGAAATCAAAGCCAATGGAATCAGTGAAGTGAACCAGGAGGATGAGACTGAAGATACGGGATTCTTGGAGCTGGAGCAAACCTTTTCTGGTAGCAAAGAAAATGGGATTCATCATAGAGACAATTCTTCCATTTTTAATGGACACACTCATAGTTCCAATAGTGCCTTAAAGACACAGGATAGCTTGGTGCACTCTGGCAACAGTGTTGCAAGCAGACTATCTCCAGGTCCTATGCTGGAAGAAGAAAGGAGAGAAATCACTGACTTTAGAGACTGCTCTGTGCAGCTTATGCAGCAAAGCAACAAAAATACAGACCATTTACGGAATGTGCATAGGACTATGAGTAACTCATCTTTTTCATCTTTGCACAGTAATATTAAAATAAATGGTGCTCACCACTCTACTGTTCAGGGGCCTTCAAGCACAAAAAGCACTACTTCAGTACCTGCTCCTAGTAAGGCAGAGTCTTCATTTCTGTCCAGATCTTCTAACTGCAGTTTCATTTCTGATTTTTATTCTCGTTCAAGATTGCATCATATAGCTACCTGGAAGTGTGAATTTATGGAGTTTGTCAACACACTGCAGAAACAAAACCATGCTATCTTCCCAGGAAGGGAAAAATTAAAAAAACTGAAAGCAGGGCAATCTACAAGTAATAAACCTGACTCAGGTAAATACTTTTAAGGTTATAAAAAGATACTATTCACTCTTGCTGTTTTAAGCAGCTTATATTTGACTACCTATATCTTCAGTGATGGGCAGTTTGGATGTCAGATCATTTGACAAGGATATGTAAGGGAAAGCACAATATTCCTCTAATGTTAAAGTGAAGTTGCCCTGAGATTGTTCCTCCTTCTCTTCCATGGTTCTCAAGGACTTGAGGATTTTTTGTTACTTTCAATACAATGGTCACAGTCTTTCTATGTTCACTTTTATGTACCAGCTCTGATTGTCTAATTTTTTGGTCAGAAAATTATGGCTCTGTACCTTATTGTATTCACACTATTGTTTGTTACGGTATAAGCTATTAGGATTGTACAAACATTTTTCTACTTTTAAAAATTGGACAGTTTTTCGATCAAAACTGCTGTCTTATGCCATGGTGGCACATTCATCCATCCCAAAGAAGAACCTATACAAAGATTTGTATAGATTCTTCCCAGTTTTGACTTAAAATAATAAAACTGAGGAGCACTTGAAATAAAAGCCCTCAAAAACTGCAAAGTAAAGTAATATATTAAAAGCTAAGTAAAGAGGATGGTAAAAAGGCAGAGGTAAAATTACTATAGTCAAAAATCTGAAGCTTTGTGTGAATTGCTGTTTATGTTAAGTTCACCACTTCATTTTATTTTGAAAGAATTAACAACATAGATATCTGCAGACTGTGGACTGATTTCAAATTGACAACTTGTGAATAAAGGACAGTTCCAGACTCTAGTAAAAGCATGATTTTGCACTAGGGCAATATCAACTATAAGTGCTGCTGTTGTCCTGAGCATGTCAGTGGTTTTGCACAAGGCCCCAAGAACTCAATCTCCTTCCTTAGTGCTGGCACAAGTTTACATTAACTCTTCTGGTTTTGAAAGTGACCTGAGAATTGTCTTTTATTGGATACCACTTCAACCAAACACATGTTACCAAATTACAGGTAACGTAGCAGCATTAAACCAGGCTGGGAGATTAATGCAGAGCATTTGTGGGGTTTTTTGATTTTTTTTATTTCATTGTGTAAAAGTAACCACAAACATACGTTAAACATTTTTTAAATGGGATGGTATTTGGAGCTTCCCCTGTGCTTCTACTGCTTGTTGCAGCAGTAGGACCCCCTGCTGGCACAAATAGAACAACTCTGGCAATGGGCTGAAACATTTGTTACCAGAACAGGGCAGGTCAGCTTCTGTGACCTGTTCTGTTCCAGAACAGCCAGTCCTTTTGTGCCAGTCAGTAATGGATCCTGCTTGTACATAAGGAGTGTTGAATGCTGCCTGTTTTAGCTGCTGTAATGAAGAATAGTATATGTAATATTCTTAACTTTTTAAACTTAAAGCCACATTGGACTACTGAAAGTGTGGTATTGTATATATTTTAAACATAGTTTAAACAGTTGTAAACAAAGATTAGAGTGATAAATTCTAGGTCAACACAATTAATACAAAAATGATCAAGCCTAGCTTAAATTTTCTATTTTTCTGCTACTAGATAATGCATCCATCTTGAGCTCAAGCAGACACCAGAGCTGTATAATGCATGTGGATATGGATTGTTTCTTTGTATCAGTGGGTATTAGAGATAGGCCAGACCTGAAAGGTTAGTAGTCATACTTCTTTAACTGCTACTTTACATTTGGAAAACATGTCCATTAAATGTACACCTTTTGCCGTGAGAGAGTTTGTAATCCAAAAACAAATATATGACTATTATTGTACTTCACAAATATCATGTCATTTTTTTCATTCAGTCCTTCATGTTCAGGAGAGACAGATGAGAGTGTTCTTGATCTCACCATTTCTGCCACCACCAGAATATTTTAATTGTAATCTTAATAATTGTTGTTGTTGTTGGTCTTTCACAAGTACACACTTATACCTCTCTAATATATGTAGTCTTGCCTTATCTTTGGCCTTGTAAATACCAACTTTCAAAGGAAATATAGGTAACAAGTCAACAACAAATTAGCATATAGGCTAATTTGCACATAGTTGCAAGCTGTTACTTGACATGTAATGGGGGAGTAAAGTTGTAAAAATAGGTGGAGCCCCCTAGTGGTGTAATCTTCTTGAAGTGTTGACCTGGCACTTCTCTGTGCCCTCCACCTTTTCAACACTTCCCTGAGTCTCTAGCTGCTCCACAAAGGAGAGAATTTAATGTACCCATTCTACTTTTCAGGGCCCTTAACTGCAGTAGTTACTGTGGTTGCCTGACAGTTCTAAAAATCAAAAATTGTAGGACACAACTTGTGTTGCTAAGCAAGTTGAATTATCAGTTGCAGTTTTTGTAAAACTGCATTGCAAGATAACTTACAACTAAATTATGTTTCACAGGGAAACCAGTGGCTGTTACAAGTAACAGAGGATCAGGAAAAGCATTGTTTCGTCCTGGTGCAAACCCTCAGCTGGAACGGCAATATTACCAGAACAAGTTATTGAATGGCAAAGCAGGTACAAATCAGCAATTTCTTGTAACTGCAAAAACTTAATTTTTCATGAGACTGTCAATTGTAATAGTCTCATTCTGTAGTGCTATGATTTAATGAATTATGTACTGGGTATATATGAATAAGGCTTCCATTTTGGGAAATAAATTTCATAGCTGTAGAAGCAGTTTAAATAAAACTTTTGTTAATGAGTACATGAACAACTCTTTTTTTACACGGAAGTGAGATCAGGGCATTGCCTTCAAGTAATGGCATGCAGCTATATTCCAAACAGAGACAACAGTCCATAAAATGTAACTGTTACAATCATGTTAATAGTTCGCTGTTCTTACTGCTTAAAATTGATAGATAGGGTTTCTGGATTATAAATAAAATAGTGCAATACCTCTTAAAAAACTAGTTGATAAATATAACAGTGTTGTCCTGAGCTAAAATAACTTGAAGAATATGGACTTCTTTTGTGATACAGTTTATTTCTAGAGAATGTTTGTTGGATTATGCAAGAGGGCAAGTCTTTTATAAAAGGTAGTTTTCTCAGTCTTTTGTTGATTGTCAGTACTGAAATCCCTTTGGGTTACAGTAGGTGCTTCCTTCTATAGCAGTGAAAAGTAAATGCCTTGTTCAGCTCATTCTGTTCTGTCTGGGGTGGTGGGGGAGATAGATCCAGCTCTCCCACCCTTTAAGCTATACCTTAATGGGCATAAGAGAAGCCTTCCATAATCACCCCCTTCTGTGCTTCACAACTCTAGATAAGTGAGACGGATTAGTTCCAAAGGCAATATGTATCCAGCCCATCCATCCAAACCCTGAATAGCAAGCCTTAGGAGTTTTCCATTATCATAGAGATGCCTAAATCTTCCTTGCTTACATATTTCTTCCACTGGAAATGATCAGTCCTACACGCATTTCTGATACGGTGGATGCCATTAGCCTTATAAAGTTCTACTCTAAAATGCTTGCTCTCAGGATAGAGTTTCATCCATTTATCGATCTAATATCAATCAAGACTTCTTCACCTATTAAGTCTCCAAGGTTCCTCTCTCTCTACATATGTCATAGCAGTGTTTTAAACCATAAGATAGAAAGCTCAGACCAGAACCCCAGATTCTTTCAAAATTCTTATCACACTTGACATACTCCCCCCACCCCTCTCCAGGATAGATCAGTAACATAGATACTGGAATAGTCTATGGAAAAAGAGAGCTCCATTGCATTCCGCACTGAAGAACTCATTGAATAGTGGCCAAAATTTGGAAGCCCTCAGTATTCCAAGGCCAAACCTTGCATCCAGCACTGAACACTAAGCCCAGCAAAAAAATATGCAAGCATCCTAAGCCCTTTCTCCCACACCCTCCAAACCACTAGGTCCAAAGCTCTGGAATGCTTTGGTGACCATCCTCCTTGGCAGCTGAAAAAGAAGAGGAAGAGAGATGGCTTACATAAATCCAGGTTCCATGTCTCCCTGCAATCATGCATGACCTGAAGTTGTGCAAACATTAGAGTGGTCTTGCCTGTTCTTCTGCAGGCAGCAAACATGTCTCCCCACTTAAGCTGTTCCAGCTGGAGTTAAAGGAATGGGATTATTAGACAAGGGATTGAACATTAAAATTAGTATTGATGACTAAATTTATGAAAGCAACCAAGAGGGTCAAAGAAAAGACTAATGTGAGATTTTTGGAGATTTTTTCTAGTCTGAAGACTACTGTCTTGATGGTGATGCTAGGAGGAAAGCAGGCTGATAGAGGCTTATAAAATCTTGAATGGGGTGGAGAGAAGAGAATGAGTAGAGAATTTTTACTCTCGCATGAAATTAGAACTTAAGTTATTCAATAAAATTGTTGACAACAAGTATTTGAGAGAAATTATTTATTGACATTGTCACTCAGTGTTGTGAGTGACATGCACTGGTAAAGGTGCAAGAAGGGTCTGTCAGTGACTGTTAGCCATTATAGCTAGTGCCAGATACTTGGAACAAATAATCTGGGGGAAATCCTGAAACATCTGGCTTCTTGTTGTTGAAAATAGAATATGGACCATTGGTCTAGCATTTCTTCTCCTTTGTTTTTATACCATGTAATTTGTATGTATATTTTGGTTTGCTTTATTTGTCCCTGGAATGCACAGAATGTAATCCTTGGAAAGTTGCACAGTCATTTTTCTGCTGCATTTCATGAAGCTTAGCAGTTACTTTTTAGTTTAGGAAGGTTCTCCTTGACCTACAATCAAAAGTTGACCTGAGCAGAAGTTTTCAGTTCCTCTCAGGACAATAAACATTTAATCAAACCTAGAGAAAATGGATTCTTGAATTTTGTTTTGCTGTTGTTATATTATTCCAAAGTTGTGTTGTCAGAGATGTTCTAATTCTTAAATTCTTAAATGGGCTGAAAGGTTCCTAAAGCCAGCACTGAAAACATAGAGAAAATGAAATGACTGTTTAAAATATTAAATATTTAGTGTGCACTATATGGTGACATGTTAAGGGTGGGATACTGACAATAAAATAAATGTTCATGTATACCATGTTCTTCCAGGATTGGCTCCCAGAATGGTTATAATGCTTAAAGTCAAAGAAAGTTATACTATATTGAGGAAATGTGGGGTATAAGTGGCAAGTCTTTCTTGGCCCATGGCAAGTGATGTAGTGTAGGTTCCAAGCTTTTAATTCAGGGGAAGGAGGCAAAAGGAATTGTAGGTGAGGTGGTTTCAGAGGCTAATAAAACAGAGATGTTAGTCTACAAAAGTAACCTTTCTGTTGATCTACAGAATCTGCTGGGCACTCTGATGATGTAATGTGTCATCGTTTAATTCTCAGTTACCATGTATCTAACATGGTTCCTTTAAAGATCCAGACAGACGTTTTATCATGTAATTTTGTAATTATAACCTGAATCATGAATAATGTGTCCAGTTCTAGCCATTGCTATTTGAGAATGAATACGAGGGGCTTTCAATGTAATCCCCCATAACTTCAATACGCTTCAATATACCATCTCTTTGTGAATGATTTTTTCACTTTTTCCTTGTTTTATAAGGAACTTAATCACAGAGCGGTGCTCAATTTTCTTCAACATAGTTGTGTCAGTCATTATGGTCATCTTTCACTGAGGATTACTAGGGAACTAATGATCACACTTACTTGAAATTTTGCATGTATACCCTTAGATAGGGTCATTAGCTAATGAAATAGTTAAATTACCCACATCAATAGCAGATCAACCGAGAATACATTGAACGCCCCTCATAGATAACGTATATTTGGCTTTGTCATAAAGTCAGCTGTTCACGGAGTAGAAAAGATTAAATAAGGATATAGAAGTTCTGCTTTTGTGATTTTCCCTTTTTTTTTATGAAATTCAGAAGTTACAGGCATAGTACTAGCCACTTTAGTAGCCTGTTTGGGTTGTTAGTAGAGATAAAAGGACATAGATTTTTTAAAAATATTCTGTTTATAATAGTTAGATATGGTTTGCTTGTGCCAGTAAAATGATAGGGCATCATGTATGCTTTTTCACTTTGTATACTAATGCTTCTCAATTAATATTTACCATATTAATATTACCAAGATTCCATATAGCCTGAAGTGCCTGATCCTGCCTAATTTTGGAAGCTAAGCAGGGTCAGGCCTGGCCAGAATTAAGATGGGTGACTGGAGTATATGATTCTATGATTATTGTTGTAAACTGCCCAAAGAGCTTTGGCTATGGGCAGCATTTAAAAATAAATGTAATAAAGTAATGAGATTAAAAGCAGAGCATGCATGCTTGTAACATTTCAACATTTGAACTGAACCCCAGAGGCCTGGTCCAGTCAAGGCACCCTACTTTCAGGTTATTTAGGAGGAAGCAAAGACCACTTGTGTTATAGATGTTAGATGCTGTATTGACTACATATATATTGATAAAATGTGGGTGCAGAGTACCAAAAAGCAAGCAAATCAAGGCTTAACATGCATCCCTTTAGATCATAGGGCTTCGCACTATGATGGACATCACTCTTGAGGTGTTGAGTTGCCTGGACTCCTATGTTCTTCAAGTTCCAGAAGTAAAGGCAATTCTATCTAGCTATGTCACAGGTTTTGTACAGGCTTTTCTGACTTCTAGAAAGTGATCAAATTTGTTAGTTAAGAGAAAAATGTTGGAAGGGAAGACAATACACCTCACCTAGCTCATCTTTATTTAAGTACTGCAGTTCACAGAGCTTGGTACCTGATTATCCGATACCTGTTATGGGAGGGTTTCTCATGGAAATACAACACAGAAAACTTTATAATCAAATGATGCTAATTTAGAAGATTGTATTGAACAGTGTGAACTGTTCTTTCTGACGCGTCATTACATTGTCTTCTGATCAGTCCCAATACAAATGCAAATTAAAAAATCTTTATTGCTAGAATTTACATTCAGTTTTTGAATGGCTATCTTCTGCTGTATCTTTATTTTACCATGCACATAAGCAACATGCAAATTCCTTAGAACCACTTCTAGAATAGTGAGAAAAATTATCAGGTCTTAAGTGTGCCTCAGTAGAAATCTTAGAAGCCTGTGTGGCTTTGCTGTCCCTTCTCTTAGAATAAATACCCTTCTCAAAAACTTTATGGTACATTTATCGAATATTCTCTTTTTGTTGTAGGGTTTTATGATGCGTGTTAGATCATTCAATGTACTCTTGTGTTTGGCACAATATGGTGTAGCTGCCGGTGTGTCATAAAAGCCTCAGTCTGCATATCCGCCCTTTCCTCTCCTTTCTCCTTTGCTTTCTTGCTGGCTAGAATGAGCTTAATGCAGGGGCACAAATAGTATGCATCTTGACTCAACAGTGCTGACTGATAAAGAATGAGGACTCCATCCTGTACAGTCGTGCCTTTAGAAACAAGTCCTTTGATGTTGTATACTATAGTGTTATTTTGCAATACCTGTTGCTTTAAGGTTTTACAAATCATATGAGGCTTCCATGGGCAAGAATGGGAGAGAAAACATTCATACACAAAGCATGTCTTTCTCTTCACTTGGTAGAGAATACAATCCACTCTGCTGAACTACAGCTATTATTCCTTACCTTGACAAAGGTATGCTTCTTGGTATATACACATGACATTTTAACTTTCTTCTTACTCTACTGGTCAGTAATTAGATTTTTAATTTGCATATTTTCCAATAATCTTCACAGGTATATTTTACAACATTTTGACTTGCAGATCATTTGATCAACAAATACAATGAAGAGAGCAGAGAGGCAGTGTTGAGGCTGAATCTTAATGTCTAAATATTTGATGAAAGGCTGGCACTCAAACTATTAAAAGATTAAAAGATACTGAGGAAAGATATGTCGCATATTTCACTTTGAATTGGCTTGGTGATAAATGTTATATATAAATTGTCTAATATGATGGGCACTGAATCAGCATTAAAACTTGGAATACACAGATATGAAATTCTGTTTATCTCAGTAATTCTGCATTTAATATGCTGGTGAATTCTGTTCTAGTAATCCTTGTGCAGACTATAGAGATTGACCATCTGTGAGTGTGAACAAAATCTAATTACAATTTGTTGTTATGCTCTGGCATAAAACAAACCTCATTTGATCAATACCTCACATTCTCCATACTGTGTCCTGCTCTTGCCTTCTCTGTAATCTGCTAAACTCCATTGTTTTAAGTATCTGTGAATCTCTTAACTTGACCAGATATAGACACTGATACCATCAGCCCTGTCTTTTACAAACTGCTTGTTCACTGATAATTATTCCTGCTTTTATTATCTCCCTTACTAGACACATTTTGGAAACAGTTGAATCTTGGATCTCTTACAAAATCAGTCTTTAATTTTATTCATCTACATCTATGATAGTTTGTTTTTGCTTTCATGCTTAATTCTGTATCTCCATTTTAGAATATTTCCTTGGGAGCAGACAATCACTGTTCTGTGGAGAAAACTTACCTGACTGTAGAGAGAGGGAATTATACATTCACAATTCATGTATACGGTTGCTCTCCTCATCTGCCAGCATTCTCAAGATGTGAATATTTTTAGCCTTCCTTTCCCTCAACCCCAATATCTTCAATTTTCATTCTAAAAAGCAACCATTTTTATCATCACTTTAGATACAGTTTTATTCTCAGTGATTTCTTTTTCACAGACTTGGGTCCTGGCCTCAGATTTCACCATCCGTTGCACTACATTCACCATGCGCCTGTCTAGTTTCCCAACTTTTGATGAGAGGTTCTCTACCTTGCCTTCCAGTGAGGACAATGTGTCTTATGTTGCCCTGAATTTACATGAAGTGACTTCATCACCTTAAGGGGGGATCTGCTGTGCTGCACTGTGGAAGAGCCCATCGAACTCAAGATAGACAAGATGATGACATCATCTAATGCCAGGGCAGAGGAATAAATGGACTAAAGATATTGCTCTTGTTGTTTGGGGCACAATTTGCTCTAACTTGCAGTTGCAGATGTGTTGGCTAACTTGAATGAGCCCATCAAAATGACAATATTGAACTATCAAGATAGCAACTTATCCATGTTCTCTCACCTACATCTCCCATCTACTGCATTCTTGTCCTGATAAATTATGTTAAGACTGCATCATAATTTCAACTGAAAATTGTTCATCAGCTTGGTAGCATCATTCAGTAACACAGGACAGCCTGCCATGCGAAGACATAATTCTTCATGCTATATACACTAGACTACAGAAATAAAAACCAAATCCAAGTTACTATACTCCTCTTGCAAAGAAAGCATTAGTGTATTAGGGTAGGTCTCTAGTTGCATTTCTATAATTTTTAGAATACATTTGCATCCATTATGTTTCAATAGAAATTATAGCCCATTCATGGTTCACATAGAGCATAGGGTTCTGCACAATATAACAGTCTGTGCATACATGGTTCCAACAAATGTTAAGTTAACATAGAGGTATATACACAGTATAACAATGTGCAGATGAAAGATTTTGCTCAGTTATTTATACTTAAGTTCTGTCTCGTGTATCTTTCCTCATAGCTGGTATGTGGTTAGTAGGCAAGGGCCATTTTTCTAATATAATTTGCCTGATTCATGCTAAGCACATTAGCTAGATTGTCTCTTTCTGTTTGGTAAGCTGAAATGCTGCTATATTGTGGACAAGTAATTTCAAAACAAAGTTGGTACATCTGGAGTAATATATACGAAGGAGTTGCTGGGCACCAAAAGAAAATAATATGAACAGTTCTTCTGTATAATAGCACATTTCAGTGAACATATAAAATTCCCATATTTTGTTTTCTATAAGAGGTAAGTAGGGGTAACTTTTATTTTCAGATAACAAATTAGTCCTGACAGATAAGATTAATATTATTTTTATTAAGTCACTCTTTTAAATATGCTCTAGAAATTTGCAGGTATCACTTTACACTCAAGAAGGAACATAGATAATTTCCTCATTTCATAGCAGAACTGGGAAAAGTGTCAAGCAGAATGTAGACTTCTCTCTTTCTAAAAATAATCATATGGTAGCCATTTTTAGTCCCTCCACAGAAATGTGTGGAAAATGAATCCTTGTGAATAGTGCAGCATGATTGGTTTTGTAGCTACCATGAAAATAGCAAATTCAGAAGCATACCATTTTGCAGGGTTAGGTGAACAGCCAAATGCATGCCAAGAAACTTTCATGAGGCTGAGTTCTACTTAACTCTTGTCAGCATCAGCATTCAAGAGAGGAACAGTTGGATGGTTCCCTCATAAATAATAAAAAAGACAATGCTGAAAGGCATTCTCACTTTAAAAATTAACATATGCAAGGGCATGCTACTGTTGAATTTAGCACAGTAAGACTGACCCAGCTGTAGCTTATAAGACTAATGTATAGACTATATCTGATAAACACTACCATGTTGTGATTCTTATTAGAATCTTATTTCCCTTTTTATTTTGGTATTGGCCTATGGATTGATTTGGAATATTTCAAGAACAATTTTGGACTATACTTAGGAAAGTAATATTTGAATTGTTCCTTCCCTCCTGTGGAATATCACTGTGGAATAAAAGATTTTAAATATATTGCATCTGTTGCAGATTACTAGTTAATTTAAAATAAAAATTTATTTTGATAACATAATTTTAAGTAATATATTTGTTTAATTTTGAGTGAAATCCAGACTTTAACCAATAACAGTAACATTGTTTAAATGTTTTTCAAGCAGAAACTGGTGAACTAGACGCAACAGAAGAGGAGAATCTAGATTCTGCACAATTGAATGGAACTGACTGTATTTTGTCAATGGCGGAGATTGCATCTTGTAGTTACGAAGCCAGGTAAGAGAGCACTATATGTTTTGCCTACCATTTGGAGACTGCAGCAGGGCCTAGGGGATTGTCTGTTCCCTGTATAGATGTCTTTCTCATACACATGAACAGGGTTACAAAAAAAGAAGAGAGAAACCTCTCTTGCTGCAGTTCTTGAATGAGTAAACCAATGCTGCAAATCTCAAGCAAACACTGTTTCCCTGTTCTGTTGCACTTCCGTATCGCTGGAATACCTTTTGATATGATATCTGATAGCTGTTCAAGTCCCTCCTTAAAACAGTTTGTAACTGAAGCTTATCTCTTTTAACAGTGTCCTACCTTTACTATCCTTTCCTTTTCTTCATAATTTATCCTATCCTTATCTTAAAATATGTCACATACAGAGTTTATATCTTAATTATTGTAGTGTGCCTAAGAATTTTAGGTTCTTTGTTAAAAATAGTAATATAAATATACTCAAGAAGTATATAGATGTTTCTTTTTTAAAATAACACAATACACACCTCTAAGTTACAGCTTGAGTAGCAGCAAAGAAGAAAAATATTATTGGAAAAAAATCTAAAGAATAAAAGAAGTATGCAATTTAATAACAAAAATATAATCTCTCCTTTCTGAAAATATGTAATAGCTGGGTGTCCATTTCAGAGCTTTGTGACAAAAATATCCTTTAAAATGGTTTCTCCACAAAAACAAATTCTGTCCTAGCTTTAAAAAAGAAGAAGAAGAACAAGCCACCCTTGCTTAGCTTTCTAAAGACCAAGGGTCTCTTTGAAGTTAGTTCACATATCATTTGCTTCACTGTGTTGGGAGAGTGACAGGGAGAGTGCAATTCTGTTGATACTCCTGAATCTCTCAGCGGCTTTCAATATCATCAACCATAGTATCCTTCTGGGGCAACTATCTGAGCTGGGAATGGATGGTACTGCATTGCAGTGGTTCCATTCCTATTTGGATGGCCGGCTCCAGAGGGTGATGCTTGGGGAATATCGCTCAGCTCCATGGATTCTCGTCAGGGTTCCTTAGGGGTCAGTCTTATTCCCGTGCTATTCAACATCTACATGAAACCGCTGAGTGGGGTCATCAGGAGTTTTAGAGTGCGTTGCCATCAGAACCTTGATGACACGCAGCTCTGTTTCTCCTTTTCATCCTCATCAGGTGGATGGATGTGCTAAACTGTGCCTGGCTGCAACAGTGGACTGGATGAGGACTAATAATGTGAAGCTCAATCCAGACAAGACTGAAATGCTGTTGGTGGGTGGTTCCTCTGACTGGATGGTGTGTGTTCAACCTGTTCTGGATGGGGTTGTAGTTCCCCTAAAAGAGCAGGTTTGTAGCTTAAGGGTGCTCCTTGATGCATCTTTGTCTCTTGAAGCTCAGTGGCCCAGCTATGCCTCTGTCTGGACAGGGGCATCCTAGTTTCAGTAATCTACACTCTCATAATCTCTAAAATAGATTACTGCAATGCTATATGGAGCTGCCATTAAAGACTATTCAGAAGCAGCATCTTGTACAAAATGTGGCAGCCAAATTAATAACTTAGACCAGAAGGTCCAAAGGTATAGCACCAATTCTGGCCTGCTTGTGTTGGTTGCATATACACTTCTGAGCATAATTTGTAGTGTTGGTTTTAACCTATAAAGCCCTAAACAGTTTTAACCATAATACCTGATGAAACACTTTCCCCAAATTCAATCTACCTGCACCAACCAACCTGCATCAGAGGGCCAACTCCAAGGGAGATCTGAAAGGAGACAACAAGGAGGAGGACCTTTTCAGTGGTGACTCCCAATTATGGATTGATCTCCCCACTGAGTCCCACTTGGCACCAGTATTGTCATGTTTTTGGCATGAGCTTCAAACTGCCCTCTATTCCTAGGAACTTAATGACACAACAATGGCTTATGTTAGCTGTTTCAGTTAGGGCCTGTTTTACTGAAATGGTTTTAGAAGTTTTACATTTTTGTATATTGGAATGCTAAAACTGTTTAAATTTTGTATTTTGGAATTGTATCATGTTTTTATTGCATTCATATTTTATTGTATTTTGAAAAATTGTTGTGAACCACTCAGAGCGCTTTGGCTATTGGGCAGTACTGAAATTAAATAAATAAATTTGTATGTTGTATATGCACTGGACAATAGCTAAGAAAAGGTTCTTTGAGATTTCAGTTCAGAATAATTGCAAGTAGACTTGTACTGTCCTTCTATAATTTATGAGGTTAAAAATGGCAGTATCTGGACTGAGTGTCTTTGCCACCATTTTGTTCTGTTATCATTAGTAAATTTTATGAATGCATATGGTCTCAACTAAAAATATGATAACCTTTCATTGTGCCCTGGTGCAAGAGTAGTAATTACTCTTAACCAGTAGCTGTTTTTTCAACTACACCAATTGGTGATGTTAAATCAAGGTGACTATTTTTGTTGTTTCTTGTTGTTGTGTTAGGCAAGCTGGTGTAAAGAATGGAATGTTCTTTGGACAAGCAAAACAGTTGTGTCCAAATCTTCAAGCTGTCCCATATGACTTTCAGGCATACAGAGAAGTTGCACAAACCATGTATGAAACCCTCGCAAGGTAAATGATGTTGTTCCTTCCTACAGGCTGCCCATTAAGGTACTTTGAAAACTAAGAGGACTTTCAAAAGTTGTGTGGTGCTTGCAGATAAAAGAGACAAAAATCCAAATCAATTTGGGAATCCTGGCCAATTTTAAAAGCTATAAAAATTGGTCAAAAATGCATATGGTGGTTTCTTTGCTTTAACAGGGCAAAGCAAAGAACAACTAAAACAAAACTAAAACTAAATATTTAGTTTCTGTCCACTCAGCTGACACTACCCAAGCACATGCCAAATTTTATAGAGAAGTTTGTATCCGAACAAATTTAGATGTTTTATGTCTAATCTAATGCAGTGAGGACTGCCAGGCTTGTTTATAGCCATTGTTTTTCTGCTCACATATTTAGCTTGCAGAGTGGTCTACATTTTACACTTAATGTGGAAGTAAGTCTGCCTAGCAGGTCCAGTTTGACATTTAACATTCCATGCAATTTTTATAATATTTAAAATGGGTCAGAATCCCCAAATCTATTGGGTTGGTTGACCAGTTCAGCCTGATATTTCAAAATATTTTAACTTGCTTAACTCATAGTATGGAAGTCAGTTTTTCATTTTTATTTAAACCACTTTTACTTCACTCTTCAGTCAAAAAGGCTCACAGAGCAGCTTAGAGGTCAATGAAAGAAATGTCTGTCCTTGCCCCAAGGTTTACAGTCTAAAAAGAAGCAAGGGGAATGAATAGGGTGGAAGGAAAAGGCAAATTGTGTTCCAGTTCTTCATTTTCCTCTTCATGGTCTCTGTGCACCACACATAAGGACTCTGCACCTGTGTGAAGCCTGTTGTTGGGAAGATTCTATAGCTAAGCTTTGATTTAGGTGGGAACCCTTCCCTTTCCTGCTCCAGTGAAACATGGAAGGGGCTTCCACCCATTCCCTTAGTTCCACCATCATGCCTAGATCGGGATGCACTTCTCTCTCCTAAGTACTTTTCAGCATTAATTGCTTCTTTCTACCATTTCCCCATTTTCCTACTCAGCCTTCTTTTACCTATCTGGTCTCCAAATCTCACTTCACTCTTTGATTATTATATATTTATATTCCTGCCCACTTTTCTCTCTCCTGCTAGTGTCCTCTATTAAACCCATTCCTGGATTCCACTTTTTGCCTCCCCCATCTACCACAGTGGCTTCAAAGGCACCCTTCAGAAAGTGCATCCACTGTGGGAGCAAACTCTCTCCCATGGACAGTCACTCCCTCTGCCTTTTCATTCTGAGCAAGACATGTTGTCAAGGGCTCCCCACATTGCCAGGGCTTCACAGAACAGGCCTGGAAACAGGGCAGATCAGCTGAGCACTGAGCTCTGGAGCAGGGCCTTGCAAAGTGCCAATTCCACAAAACAAAAGCAGGGTACAACCAACCAACCACCAGCTGTGGCAGTTCCACCGAGTCCTTCATTGGCCATGGCAAGAGCCTCAAACTGAGCATACCCCAGGCCATTCAGTAGAGGATTGCATGGCCAGGAAGGTGGCCAAACATTCAACAAAGATAACCACTGCTGCCAGAGAAAAATGCAGGCACCATGAGAGTCCTTGCCAATCCTCAACACTGAGAGACTACTCGGACGCAAGAGCAGCCAGAGCTCTTGGCACCAAGAGAGGACCCAGTCCTAGCCAAACTGGTATCCAAGGGAAAAATAAGGGACACCTCGTCCAGGTCAGCAGCCCAGTGACCTTCCAGGGCATTGGCATTGAGATGATCCATCCGAGCTTTACCAAGACGAACACGACTATCAGAGACTGTGGAACACTGGGACAGATCCCTCTCTCCTCTGATTAAATGGGACTGGGCCTCTCTCCTCACAGTAGTTCCGAAGGGAGTCCCATTCATCCTGCAAAGATGACCACAATTCTCACTACAGAGAGGATGCCAGGGGTCACTGGCAAAGCAGAGCCAGCCAGCACTAAGAAGCAGCCACAGCCCTTGCTTCTCCACCACAAGGTTTTTTCCATGATACGAGGACCTGGCACCACACTGGTTGCAATCCCTGAGGTTTCTGACTCCAAGACTCTGAAGACTGAGGACACCCTGCGCACCATCAGATCCAGAGGATTACGTGTTCAATTCGGCATCAGCAGCTTTCCTAGTCCTGTCTGCCTTCTCATATGAAACTGCCATCGCTTCACAGAACCTGGTGTTGACATTTAACATTCCATGCAATTGGAAGAGATGGACAGATTTTTGGAGCAGATCCTCTGAATGGTGAACTCCCTTGATTTCAAGATGGAGCAGATGCAGGACAGAGTCACAGACTTGGTCTTTGATGGAATACTTGGGGGACACAGCACCACAGTGGCAATACCGTTCCTGTCCACACTGCTGCAGACTATCCAGCAAATGTGGAAGACCCCCTCAGCAGCAAAGGGACTCAAGACCATGTACCCGGTGCTGAAGAAAGACATCCCATTCCTCTTCCAGCACACCAAGCCCAGCTTGGTCATCATAGAGTCCACACATAGCCACTCACAGCAGGAACATTTGGCCTCAGTAGACCAGAGGGTTGCTGCCTGGATGGAATGTGAGGTGAATCTACACTGCCTCAGCAATTGGCCTCTGAGTCTCAAACTACAAGGCCACACCATACCTCCACACCAGTTCTTCTTATGGAACAAGATTGGGACCATGTAGACTCCTAAGCCTATGCAATGATAGGCTTTGTGGCCAGAGGCAAACCTGGCTATGATCCATGGGGCTGCTCCATGGATTCCTTATAAAAGTTCAGGACAATGACAAGATAGATGGCTTTCCATCAGTCAGGTGACATAAGTGGTTCAGAGGGCCCTACTTGCCTTACCAGCACAAGGTCTATGCTGAATACACTGTGCCAGCCCCGCAGACCAAAAGGCATGACACCCTGGTCTGCTTTAAACAAGCTCACAAGCACCCATAAAGGGACAAGCACCACCACTGACTGCCCCCCCAGCTGTCCCCCCAACCTGCCCACCAGTTTCAACAGATATGTCTCTCTATTCCTTCCTGCGTGGGAAGTGATAACATTTGACTCCTAGGTCCTGTCATCATGGAGAGAGGCTACTGGATTTTCAACAACCTCCTGCCACTTGGTCCCATAGGAAACATGGCTCCATCCCCAATACTAATGTTAGAAGTTGATTCACTACTTTCTAAAGCTTGAATTCCTCAGTCTGTCTCATCTCTGCCCAAGGCTTTTACTCTTGATACTTCACAGTACTGAAGCAAGATGAGCGGCTCAGACTGATCCTAGACTCAGAGGCATCAACTGATTCATCACACTGAGGAAGTTCAGGATGATCACCCTTCAGAATATCCTGCTTCTACAGGAAGGAGACTGGTTTGCCTGAATCAACTTGAAAGTTTCTTACTTCCACATTACTATAGACCACAACTATAGATACTTTTTGTACTTCCAAATTGGAAATGAGATGTTCCAATTCTCTCTGTTTCCCTTTGGCTTCTCAACTGCATCAGTGGTCTTTATTAAATGCATGGTGGTAGTCTCCTCACACCTATGCCTCCAAAGAGTACAAGTCTTTCCATACCTTGATGACTGGCTCCTTGTTACACCATCTAAGGCAGGCCTACTATATTCCATGCACAGCACCTGCTTCCTCCTGCAGACCCTAGGACTGTACAAATCATGAGAAATATGCTCTCTCTCCCTCCTAGTTCATCCCCTTCATAGCTCCCTCCCCCCAACTCATTCTCAGTGAAAGCTCTCTTTCCACCATCCAAAGCATCTGTACTGATCAAGATGGCCACCAAGCTTAGCACCTGAGCAACCATCACGCCTCACAAAAACCGCTTGGGTTCATGGCTGCAGTGGCAGTGGTCCCCTTCAAGAGGCTTTGAATGCAACCTCTGCAACTATGGCTTGTCCATATATTCCGCACATCAAACAACCCAGAGAGGACACACCTTGCCATCCCCCCATCCATCAAAAAGAGACTCTGCTGGTGGACTGTCCCTCACAATTTGGCAAAATGCACCATTCTCTCACCCCCCAGACCTTTCATTCACCACCACCACTAATGCATCTCTCTTGGGATGTGGAGCTCCGGCAACCTGTGAACCCAAGGTTCCTGCAAGTGACAAGAGACCCACAAACACATCAACTTCAGAGAGAGGCTGGCCACTGCCTTCCGGTCATCCCTACATGGATATCACTCTCAGATAGCCATGGACAACACCATCATGGTATTTTATCTCAACAAATGAGGCAGCACACTGTCCCTCCCACTGTCGAAACTGGCTGACAGGATCTGGGATTGGTGCATCAGCAGGGGCATTCATGTGGCAGGCATAAGCAACACACTGGCAGACACTCTCAGCCATGCAAACCTTGACCTGCATGAGTGGCAGCTGAGTACCAGAGCCCTCCATAAGGTACTCACAACATGGGACACGCCAACAGTAAATTTGTTCACCACAGCTGACACTATGGTCTGCATGAACTTTTGCTCCCAGGTGGAACAAAGGGCTGGCTTCCTGGAGGATGCCTTCCTCTTACTCTGGTTGGGAACACTGTTCTACAGGTGGCTGCTCTGTAAAGGTATTGCAAGGGTACTTCCACATGGAGGACTGTGCTTGTGAAGATCAGGGATAAGACAGCTGCAGCTCATCACTTCCTGGTGGCTGAGGCAACCACAGTTCTCCGATTTCCTATGACTTTGCCACAGAACGTTCCTCCATCTCCCATGCAAGCCTGACCAGATCTCATGATTCTGTCTCATGGGACAGAATCCTTCACCCTTGCTTCAACACAATGCACCACATGGCACGGCATATCATGTCATAGCCCCCATGAATGGCACACTACCACAGGGTGTCAGAACTATCCTGGACACAGCCCTCAAGCCACCAATGAGGAGGTCCTATCTAGCCAAATGGCAGGCCTTTTCCACCTTCACATGGCAAGAAAATCGCAACCCGTGAGATACCACAGCCGAACACATCCTCTGCTTCCTATACTTGTTCTTCCAAAAGAGGCTAAAACTGTCTTTCATCAAAGTACCTGATAGCAATCCCCTCCTTCTGTGCACCAATACAAGGGTTCTCTGTCTTCTTGCACCTCTTGATGGTTCCTGAGGGCGCTTCAAAATCTGTCTTTTCTCACCCACTCCTTCACACTGGCATGAAGCCTCTAGGTAGCACTGTAGGATCTCACCAAGAAGCCCTTCAAGCCATTAAGTCAACCTCTGCCTCCTATCCTTTTTGGTGGCCATCACATCAATAAGACGTGGCCATGAATTGTGTGCCATTGAAGTAGACCCTCTGTACCTCACTTTCCATAGGGACAACACAGTACTTCAGCCAGATCTGACTTTCCTCTCCAAGGTAATATCGGCGTTTCATCTCAACCAAGGCATTTTTCTCTCAGCCTTCTTTACAGTTGCCTCCAACCCTGCACTCCCTGGATGACCAAAGAGCACTTGGCTTTTACTGCTCCAGGACAGAATCTTTCCCCTACTAACCAAGACTCTTTGTATGCTATGGTGGATGGAACAAAGGGGAGCCACTCTCCACTTAGAGACTAGTGGTCTGCATCATAAACAGCATCTCCCTGACCCATGAGCTGTCAGGCCTGCAACTCACAACCCCTCCAAGAGCTCACTCCACCCAAGCAATGGCTACCTCCACTGCCCTTCTCATGGGAGTACCCTTTGCAGGACTTTTGCAGAGCAGCCATATGGTTCACATCCTCAACATTTGTGAAGCAGTACAGACTAGCAAGGGCAGACAAATGCTTAGCTATAGAATTTTCCTGACAACAGGCACCACACTGATGCTGAGCCCATATGTGTGAATGCACAGATGGCCATTCAAAGAATGACAGTTACAGGTAATCAGCCTGGCTTTACCGTTCTTGTAACAATAAGCTACAGTGGAAAACTTCAGGTAGCACAATAGATTGGTAAGCATTAGAGAGAGGAAGAATGGAAGGCAGCTGGTGTTTTAGCAGAGCTGATGGAATGACCCTGCTTTCCTTCTCTACCTCTGTTACAGTGTAATGGATTGACTATTGCAGTTCACATCTGTGGTCTCCCATTTGCAGAAGGTCTTTTATCCAGTGGACACCTCTGCTAATGGAAGTAAAGGCAAAGCAGTTTTTGCCAATTTCCTCAAAAACCTGCTCCCGGGGAATAGCATGAAGGCAGCATCAGAGCTTGCAAAGGGAATGGAAGAGCATAATTAAATGCAAGCCAAATAAATCAGTTGTAAAAATGAGGATACTATTACCTATACATTTTCTTGTGCAATGTTATAATCCTATGTACTTAAATATATAAGAAAAATAATCAGGAAAGTTACTCCACATTAGGGAAGATTTACTTGATACAGGTTTGTTTTTAACAGATGGTGAACTGCTTCATTTCATTTTCTTTATCTTGATAGCTATACTCATAGCATTGAAGCAGTCAGTTGTGATGAAGCACTTGTAGATGTCACTGAAATACTTGCAGAGACTGGTTTAACATCTGAAGAACTAGCAAATGCTATCCGTACTGAAATAAAAAATAAGTCCAAGTGTCCTGCTTCCATTGGAATAGGTTAGTATCTCTGTGTAAGTGAAAGAAAGCTATTAAATGTGAATCACATAAAAATGATAAATTCATTAACACATGGTATTAAATTCTCATTTTCATATAGGCAGTGTCAGGCCACACCTAAACATTTTGTCCTGTCATCCTACCCACTCCTTCAGCTTTTCCTGGAAGCTAGATTATGATAATAGTAGAGGAAATAAGTAAACTCTTAAGCATGTCTAACTATAGAAGCCAAGTCTTCACCTTGCTTGTTCCCCCAAACTCAACTCTCACCAGAGCTTCCACTAAGAGTGAATACCTCTCCCGCACTCCTTGTCTTTCCAGGAAGAACTTAAAACTAGCAGCTGTAAATTAGAATTGCATACTACAAGGGAATGTTCATTCAGTTAGGTTGGCAGAGAGCTCCTTGGAAGCTGGCCATCAAAGGTACTCAGTTCCAGCTCCTTCAGTGTGTCTTTGCCTCTTACTGGCTTCCCATCCTATGGTTTGCATCTTTTTCTAGGCCCAAGCTTTTCTAGGCCCAAGCTCCTGGATGGGAGGGAGATGAAACATCTGGAAGGAGCCCCAGATGAAGTAAGGTAGATTCCTTATTCCCCTCATGGCTTCATTCAGTATAGCACATGAAAATTGTTCATCTTTTAGTAACTTTATATCTACCAGCATAAACTGTATGGTTCCTGTTTGTAAAAAATACACCATCAGATGTAAAGCTGAAAATCACCACTGTCTGGAACTGTAACTGCTAGTCATAAATAGGCTATTAGAGGAGATTATCATTGCTGTGCTTATAAGCCTTGGACAGAAGCCTTCCAAGCTGTCTGCCTTACTTTTTTCTCTAGAGTGTGTGTACACAATCGTATGGACATAGGAATAGTGCATATAATATACTATTTAAAACTAATATTGACTACTTTGTTTGCATTCTAATGTATATAGGTTCAAACATTTTACTGGCCAGAATGGCAACTCGCAGAGCAAAGCCTGATGGACAGTATCATTTAAAGCCAGAAGAAGTAGATGATTTTCTCAGAAGCCAGCTAATTATACATCTTCCAGGTAAGGTTTTGTTATTGTACTTGCTCCTAATTTTTAGGGTCTTCCATCAGAATTGCCTCAGTTCCACTCCCATGTTAAAGTGGTCTGTCCTTAGTAAATTGCTATGGTTGTTTTCTTTACATGTACATCATGCTCTCCAAAAATTAAATATTAATTAGATAGCCATGGATCGTATGCAATAGGACTAAGGCAACTTCATTTGGAGCTGTTCCTCTTAAAAATGTGTAAAAATGCAAAATTACCAGCTTATATCAAAAGCAATCTAGTGATGTTTAAGTGGTTAGTCACTTGTGGTCAATTGTAATATTGTTAAAGTAAGAGTTAACTATTTTAAGTCCTGTAATAATTAGCTTTTCTATGTATTAGTAAATAAAACTCTGATTGATATGTGAAGTGCCAAAAAATTTCAATCACATTTGCTGTATCACAGCATGCCTGGCAGTTCTATTTTACATAAGGTTGAACTGGTATATATGATAATACAAATCAGATTTGAACAGCATACCAGTGTTTCCTGAAATAGAACAATCTGTTTTTCTTATCAGGAGTTGGTAGGACAATGGAATCTAAGTTGTTATCCTTAGGAATAAAAACGTGCGGAGATTTACAGTGTCAACAGATGTCAACACTTCAGAAAGAATTTGGTCCCAAAACAGGACAAATGCTGTATAGATTTTGCCGTGGTTTGGATGATAGGCCTGTTCAAAGAGAGAAAAAGAGAAAATCTGTTTCAGCTGAGATCAATTATGGTATAAGATTTACCCAGGTAAAAAAGATACTAGTTTCTCTACTGTAATAAATCATTGTCTCTAAAATTATAAGACTACTCTTAATTTTTGTCCTCTTTTAATGCTAGAATGTACGATCTTGTATATGAAATATATATTGGGTAAACTTACTTGAATGTAAGGAATGTAAGGAATGTAAGGACAGTTTCTGTCCATACTGTATTTGTAAGAATCAGACATTTTTGGGGAGCCCATTAGAGGCTTTTAAATGAGATAAGTAGTGCCATCTTATGCATGTCTTACTCAGAAGTAATGATTTGTTAGAGATGTTTGAATTATTTTTTTTTATCTTGTGGTTGTGAGCTGCCCAGAGGTGCTGTGGCATAATTGGGTGGCATACAAATGTTTTAAATAAATAAATAGGAAATCTTCCTGAAAATTTTCCAATCTGCTTTTGAAAATTTTCAGTTTGCACTGGATTTTATTATGTCCTAAAGAGTGATCCAATACAGTGTGTTTATTTTACTTGTATTTACTTGTATTTAACAAAAACTAAAAAGTACCCCATATTAATTTTTGTTCCAGAGCACCACAAACACATTTGATCTGATACAGCTGATAACAAAAATTTAAGCATACTTAGTGCATTTTGAGTATTATGTAAATTTGTATTGTAATACAGATAAGAATGTAAAGATAATAGCATGTATTTCCTTACATGTATTTATTGGAGTTATATCCTATCTTTGCAAAAATTGCATTCAGAATGGCCTTACAAAACTAATTTAAAATAAATTTTAGCAACCCAAAGAACCGTGCATGGTATATCGACAGTCACTCAACTCCTTTCAATTGAGGAACTTAGGACACCTTCAGTTTTGTTTATTCCATTTTACATAATCAATTTCAGTGACATAAGCATATCCTTTCACATGCATGCAATGGATCACCTGAGTAAATTAATACCAACTTTGAAATGTCCAAGCTTGTTTAATATTGTACTTACTCCCTCATTGTTACCAGTGAATTTATATAATAAACATTTCTGTAAAAATTTCTGCCTAACATCAGTGTTCAGAAGTAATGCACACAGATTGCAGTGAGACTCCTAGATAAGTGTGTATAGGATTGTTGCCTAGTGAAAAAACTGCTGATCATCTCTGTAGTGTGAATTCCCCCCACCACACACGCACTACATGGGGGTGTATTGCCAAATTGACCCAGTGTGAATTATTTGTACCAGTTTTTAAAAAGTAATAATGTAAGTGAACTAATTATGTCCATACCATATTAGCTTAATCCAGAAAAGGCAGATACAGTAAGATTTGTGCAGTATTATGAAAAAGCCAGAATTGATGAAATCAACATGTAAAAGTAGCACAATTTTTGACCAATCAGGAAACATTTGCATCTTTCTTCCATTTTCATAGGCTTTTATCTTCTTGAAGTGAAACCCATTTTATAAGAAACATTACCCATGCATCATACTCATATGCACACATGGCCACAAGAGAGAGCTGGTGCTGTGTGGCTAAACAGAGCTTCATTAAGCAGAATTAGTTTGGAGGAGGACATGGAATGTCCAGGACTATATGAATTAGAAATCATATTATTAGACAGACAACCTTATCTATGTACAACACATTTTATGTATTTCTAGCCACAAGAAGCAGAAGCTTTTATTTTGAGTCTTTCAGAAGAGATCCAATGTAGACTAGAAGCTGCTGGTATGAAAGGCAAACGCTTAACCCTCAAAATCATGGTCAGAAAAGCTGGTGCTCCAGTGGAATCTGCAAAATTTGGAGGCCACGGAATCTGTGACAATATTTGCAGGTAAATTTTGTTAAATAAATTTGCCAATAATTGTAGGTCTACATTTGAAAAATAATGAGAATTTGGAGATGATCTTGATTTGAACAGTTTTGTTCTGTTTTGCTTCTATGGGTGGACTTGCGCATGGAAGGACATTTGTGAAAGTCTTGCAGTGCAGGAGAGCATGTCCCCGTGATTGAATGGACAAAACCCCATCCCTGCCTACAATCCACTATGGCCCCTGGAGGTTTGAAGGACTCTGTAGAGCAGTGGGGAGAAGCAGCACTGTAAATGGAGATGAAGTTGGCAGGAATAGTCTCCCCTCCCCCTTGCTTTCTGTAGGAGCAAACTACACTCAGGATGTTAATGGCAGTGGAATGAAATTTTGGGATCAAAGATTATATTGACTCCTGTCTAGTGTTTTGCTGTGAAACTTCAACAGTAACCCACCAGCAGTAGCAAGGGTGCAACTTCTGGGAGAATCTGCAGGTAGAAATTGGCACCTAAACTGCCCAGTTACCTACCCATGGTTGGTAGAATAAAGTATTACTTTTCACCAGATTCCTACAGGGACATACTCGTAGACCTCTTCTGCTGTTTCCCAGTGACAATGTTCACAGGCATTCTACTTCTGATTCTGAAGGTAGCATATAGTTAATTAATTAATTGTCAGGCTAGTAATAGTATCAGCCATTGAACAAGAACTTGAAGCATTTTAAATGTGTGTTCTTTACAGAAGTGTGACTCTCAGCCATGCAACAGATAGTGCCGAAGTGATTGGGAAAGAAGTGTTGAATATGTTTCACACAATGAAACTGAATATATCTGATATGAGAGGGGTAAGTTTTTAAATCACAGGAAGTCTAAAGCTTTTTTATATTTTTTTTCTTCTACAAGAAAAAATATCTTGCTTTATTAAGTTCTAAACTGACATTATGGTTTTTCAGTACAGTAGTAACAAACTTATAAATCACCATCATGGAAAGCAGGTCAAGTAATAAAATATGTGAGTTCACATATTTGAGAGACCAAATATCCAGTGATGGTGCAGAGATTTCTTCTTTTTTAATGGAAGCAAGATAGCTCTCAGGTAAGATGTTAGAATACTCCTGCTGGAAATGGATCTCTTTTAAATACTCCAATAGCTCCATTTTCTTCCATGCTTTAGTTTAGTCCCATGCTGTTGTTCACCGTAAACATGTATACCATTTGCTTGTTGTTATTAAACACACTCTTATATTAAATATGTTTAAAGATAAAGTTGACTTACATACGGTGTTTGCTATCATATCTCTAGTTTATTGATTATTTTTTCTGTTTATAAATAAGATGGCCTTTTTCCTGTTTTTTAGGTTGGGATTCAAGTACATCAGTTAGTTCCGGTAAATAAAACAACCTCAGCATGTTCTTCTAGCCCATTATTACAGGCTGGATTCTTGCCTGGTGGATCTAATTCCATTATTGATCTTCTGCAAGTTCCAAAAGCAGTAAAGAATTTAGAAGAAGAACGAAAGGATGGTCAGTAGAATGGTTAATAATTCTGTTTCCTAATAGCTACTTTTAGCCAATATAGTTTGTATGTGAATTTTTTTATAAATACTTTTCAGAAAATAATTTATTTATTGCATCATTCACACTGTATTAACTTTACATTTTTCACAGTAAGTTACCAAAACAGCATAGTAAGACTAAATTAATGGAGTAAGCATGGTATTTTGGAATAGCTAATCTTATCTTGTTTCTGAATTGATAGTATTTGTGGCTGCAGTGGATGTCGAAATATCTTCCACATCAAAAGCTTGTACAGCATTACAATCTCAGATGTCTAATGTCACCAGCAAATCTGAGCCTGCAGTCAATTTGAATGGTTTGCACCCACCTATCAATATAAAATCAAGACTTAATTTAAGTATTGAGGTACCATCACCTTCGCAGGTAAAATTTCTTTTCTGGTATGAACAATATAAAGAGAGGTCTGAGGTTGGTATTTTTAGTGTTGTTTTGTTTAATACAAAGGAATTGACCAATTAAGATTTAGGGTTTTTCATTTCTTCCTTCCTTTACTTTCCCTTAGCCTTTGGAATAGCTCAAGTAACAAATGCAAATATTTTGTTACATATACTCAGTAATTTAGGCAGGGTGAATGAGTGGATGAATATTTTTAAGAGAAACTTAGTGGTTGGGTATCACTTTAGTGGTTGCATAACATTTTGGTGTGTTTTAGAAAGTATTTTGCCCCTGTATGTTGTGCCCATAGTTTTCCCTTTTGTGATGCCTGAATGCCATGCAGAAGTCTCAAACTCATTGTTTCTCTTTTGCCAAAATTGAGAAACCAGTTTTCAGCTTCAGAGCTAGCCAGATTTTAAGCCTTCTTCAAACCATGGTTTAGGATCCTGGTTTGCTTTGAAACTGGAGCACATGGCTTTCTGGTTTGAATGGAATTTAAATCACAACTTGTTTGGGCAGAAACTTGTTTTTATCTCCGACTATTAATGCAACATTTGTTTGAGTTGTTAGTTACACAGGATCAGGCATAGACAGCTGTGCTGGCTGACTTCCTCATCCCATTCTTTCTATGGCAGCCCCTCCAGCTGTCCAGAAATTATATGCAATAAATTGTAGGGACCTGGCTTACCCTGGTAGAGGAGAGAGATATCTGTACATCAGACAGAGACACCTCCCTTAGTGGGACATTTCTGTCTACAGACAACAGATCCTGGATCCAGTCCTGAATATATTTATTTGGTGACTATAAATTTGTCAGTTCTGCCTTTTCCAGCTGGGTGGAAACTATGTTGTAAAAAGATAAAATATTAATTAAGTAAAACAATGACAGTTAAAGAATGTTTATTTATTTGTTTAAAGCATGAGAGAAAGAGGGAGAGACATGCCAAACTTATACTGTTGATAGGTGAGTCTGCAGATTTTAAATGACTCCTGTGTAGGTTTCTGCCACAGAAAAGCCCTTTGCAGTCACTCACATGAAAACCTTAATGTTTAAACTGACCTTGAAACTTGGTTTATCAACATGGCGATGCAAAGGATGTGGCATTACAGCTGTACCAGCATTATGATGCATCATAAAATTCAAATATTTCAGACTGGTGCAAGAGGAGAAACAGCCTTACAATTTTTTAAAAAAATTGTACCTCTAATACTTAGCAACCAAACAGTAAAATACATTTTGGTGGCAAATGCATGTTGAAAATATATTTGATTTTTCTTTTCTTCTTTAACTGAAATATGCTTACTTTTCTTTCTGTAGTTGGATCAGTCTGCTTTGGAGGCGCTCCCTTCTGATCTTCGAGAACAGATAGAACAAATTTATTCTCTTCAGCAAGCAGAGATGTGCAGTAGTAGCAAGAAAGAGACACTAAATGGATACAACACTAGCTTTCCATCACAGCCAGTCGGAACTGTTCTTCTACAAATACCAGATCTCAAAGAATCAAGCAATGACACAGGAGTTAATGTAATAGCATTGCCAGCATTTTCACAGGTGAATAACAATAAAGTAGTGTTTGCTTAACTACCGGTAGACCTTTTCATAGAATAGTAAACAGTGTGTTAGGTTTCCAATTCTCATTGCTTTGAAAATACTTGTATTCTACAAACAGTGTAAGGCTTTCTGTACTTTAAACAACAAAGACTCTTGTGGCATTTAAAAACTGGCATACTTATTCTGACATAAGCTTGAATGGGCACTTTCCATTCCAACAGATGTATGAAGCGTTAACATCAGTCGTATCGTACATCTGATGAAGTCATGAAAGCTTATACAATAATAATTATATTAACTCTTTAAAAGTGCCTCAACTGCCTGTTCTGCTGTAACAGACTACTAATGTGGCTTTATTATATTGTTATTTTGTGCTGTCAAGTCATATCCAACTTAGAGCAACCATATGAATGAATGTCCTCCTAAATGTCTTGTCTTTGACAACCCTGCTCAGCTGTTGTAAAATCAAGGCTGTGGAATTGTTCCATAATGTACTTGACCTTCCTCCTCTTCTTCTGCCTCCTACTTTCCCTAACATTATTGTCTTCTCGAGTAGCTCTTTGCCTTCTCATTATGTGCCCAAAGTCCAACAGTGTCAATTTGATCATTTTTGCTTCCAGGCAAAGTTCTGCCTTGATTTGCTCTAGCACCTGCTTGTTCTCCTTTTGTTGCTCCAGGACATCTGAAAACTCTCCTCCAGTGTCATACTTAGAACACACTGGGTTTCTTCTTGACAACTTTCCTCACTGACCAGCTTTCACATGCTTAGTGATAACATGGTGCCCTTTCCGGAAATTGTACTTTAAAGATACCCAATTAAAAACACACATAGGATAAATTAGTTTCTTAAAAAGTCAGAAATGTACACCAGAGGTATAATCTTAGATGAATGTTTAATTGCTTAGGTGGACCCTGAAGTTTTTGCTGCACTGCCTTCAGAGATGCAGGAAGAGCTTAGACAGGCATATGATCAACGACAGAAGCATATGGAGGCTATTTTTCAGCAAACGAGTACCACTGGTAAGTCTGTAGCTGCAGTTCTGTCAAAGCATCAGATGATTTAACAGTCTTCTCAATAATTATGTTACTGAGTTTTGATGAAATAGCTCAGTCAGAGTCATCTTTAGCTGTAAAATACTAGATAACTCTCTGTTACTCCTTTCCCCGCAGTTTCAAAGAATCCTTTGCTGAACTTGAGACCAATTTCAAAAATGAAGAAGAAAAGTAAAAAAAAACCCCAAGTCAGTCCTGTAAAAAAGAACCATGCTTCTTTGAACAACAAAGTCTTTGGAAGTCCTGCAAAAAATACGGTTATTTCTGTTGGAAGCCCACAGAAACTATTGGATGACTTCTTGAAACAGGAAGGAGGAACCATTGACAACTCTCAGGTAATTTTGTCACAAGTGAATCCAGCCCTCAGATAAATTCTTCTTGTCTGTCATGTTGTTTAGTGCTGGGACTACTTTTCCTAACCTTTGCAGTTAGGCAGATATGGAAGAAGCATTTCCTGTAAGTTCTCCTTTTTGTTTTTTGAATAGGTGGAATTAGTGCAAATGGCTGCACATACTTCTAGCCCATCCATTTCACAGCCATTATTGCCTGCCACTGCAAGGCCTCGAGCACCTAATCTAGCTGGAGCTGTTGAGTTCAATGATGTAAAGGCCTTACTCAAAGAATGGATTACAACCATATCAGGTAATTGCAGTTTCATTATGTTTTTAATAAAAGGCTGTAGGTGCATTGTGTTCACAACACTTTCAAAAGTTTTTAATTTGGACTGCAAAATTTTGTCTTGCTATGAAATGTCAGCTATTGCCATTTTACAGAAGGCAGACCCACTGGCTGTGGTCTAAAGCTTAGGATCGCTTGGGGTTGGAGGTTGACCTCATTTACCCTCTTCTAGCAAGGGCAAGATGGAGCCAAGACTATACTTGGATGGGGAACTTACTTTCAGCAGCAAACAAACAATTGCTGATTTAAAGCTGTTTGGCATGTTGCCCTCTTTGAATTAAGCATTTTAATAATCCTTTGTGTCATATGATTTCCTAGATCCCATGGAAGAAGATATCCTTCAAGTTGTGAAGTACTGTACTGATCTGATAGAAGAAAAGGATTTAGAAAAGTTGGATCTGGTCATAAAATATATGAAAAGGTAGTTTAATTTTTGGTTTTAATTTACACTTTTGGTATAAAAAACTCAAGCTATCAAAATTGTGATTTTCTTCACATCTGCATGTATTCATTCTCTAAAGGGATTCCAACATCTTTTTTCAGTGAAATACTTGGAGTAAACTCACGTGAAATCAGTGAGACATGACTAATTTAAGCCCATTGATTTCAGCAGGTCTTTTCCAGTATACCTGGATCCAACCCAAAGGACAGAACATGGTCAATTTTAGCTCTCATGGTAAATTTGCTGAGCTGAACACCAGTTATGTCCTGCCCCTTGGGCCTTTGATTTCTTGACTTGTACAGTGACAAATGCTTCTCATCCCTAATTCAGTTTTTTAAAAATTTAAACCTACTTAGTTATGCCAGACTAAATTCCCTTCATTTGAGTACAGTCCAGCCACTTCCAAGTACATCATAAACTAAATTTTGTACCTCTTCTGTGAGACTGTTAGTACCTTACCCATTACATTCTTTTAAATCTTGCAAGAAAAATTTGGTTCTATATGCAAAATTGATCAGTGTCTGTTAAAGTTCTTGTAGTAAAATCATTATTTTAAACACAAAAATAAAAAATTCCCAAACAGCTAACTTGCCTGATCAACATTCTGTCATGGAAAGTTATAAAATGTGATGCAGTGCCCAGTTACTTCTGTATCTAAAAGTGGATGCTTTTCTTCCTCTGCAGGCTAATGCAGCAGTCTGTAGAATCAGTTTGGAACATGGCTTTTGACTTCATTCTTGACAATGTTCAAGTGGTTTTGCAACAAACTTATGGAAGCACATTAAAAGTTATCTGAACTGATCTTGTAGAAAAGGGTGTGGTGAGGGCCTGGAGCTCTCTGGTAGCTGTGCCATAAGTGCTTGTGAGGTATTTGCAAAGTGCATGATAGTAAAACTAAGTTTTTATAAGTTGGAATTTTTTTTAAAGGAGAAAGTGTTTTGTATATTTCCTTTCAAGAAAGTGCCAAAATTTGTCAGTATTGCATGTAAATAATTGTGTTCAAATTCTTTTATTGTAGCATAGAATCTATTTGCAAAATGTTTGTTTATAAAGGTTTTCTGGATTTTTACAGTGAAGTGTTTACAGTTGTTTAATAAAGAACTGTATGTAATTTGTAAAAATTGTGTTGTTTCCATATTCCACTACTAAATGCTAAAGCTTTGAAATTATGCAAATATTAACTCAATGATAGTGATAAAGCTATAGGTTTTAATGTTTTTTTGTTAAACAGTTTTATCCCACTTCTATCCATTCAAGCTTACAAAGGCAGCATGCATGGGCAATCATCTCCTTAAAAGGATGGTGAGAGTGAGCTAATGTTTCAACTACACTTTGCCCCCACAAAGTATGCAGATGCTGCATGTGGTTGGACAGCCCTGAAGATACAAGTGATAATACATCTGTTCTTGCCATGGACTAATGGCAGCACACCTCATTCCACAGCTTATGCAAGCACAAATATGTTTCTGTATTGGCAGCAAAGTTCAGCATTCTGGCAATTGTAATTTCCATCTGTTTAATGATCTCAATGAAATGCTGGAAGTCTAGCATTGCAAGAGAAGACTGAAGAGGATTAGTGTTTCCAGTGAAGTAGGTAATTTACTGCCTTAGTCTACCTTTTTGTCCTCTTCAACTAGGAATTACAGGGAAGGGAAACAATTGAGAAATTCCTCTTTCCAAACACTAGAGTGAGTGGTTGCATCCTCACCTAGCAACTGCAGAGGTGGAGACTGCCTCACCCTCAAAGCTCAAGAGTCCTCGGATCCTAATTAATCCCTCTTCCAAGACATTTGGGCTTCAAAATATGTCACAGCCTGATCTTGGGAGTGACAAAACTGTGGACGTCATTTAGGGCTTAGGCAATCCAATTCTTCTGTCCTCACCATTTGATAGCTTCTGGTGGTTATTCAGCATGCTCTGTCCTTGTTGGGCTAATATGGCTTGCAAAGTAGCAAACGGAAGTTGAGCTGTAAAAGTCCCTGTATAATTCTGGTTTCACACTTCTTTGCACACCAGTAATCCTTTTCTCTGCACAACATAGAACCAATCAGTTCTATTGTGTTGAACCCCAGTTGAAGCACATGCAAACCCTCATACCCACATTTTGACAGTTAAATAGCTGCATGCTGCCATTATTAGGAATTAAATTAACAGGCTAATGTCCATTTCCTTTATTTCCAGCTGAGTGTTAATGATTACAGTTTGTCAAATTCCATGAACTGTACAAGCAATAAAAGGCAGCCAACTATGCTTTACATCATTGTTTCACAAAGCAAATACAGATGCCAAATTACCTAATTTTTTTTCTATCTTAAATTTTTATAGGCACAAAGCAGAGGAATGGTGAAAAATCAATAGGGAAAGATATATGCATAAATAAACATTTCTTACATCAAAAGAAGTCCAAAAATCACAAAGTCTGCAGGGAGTTGGTTCATCAAAGACTGCAGTACTGATCTTACTAGTATAAAAGTGAAAGCTGAGTTTGTAATAAAAAAATTCTATTTGAAGGATGTGAGTTGGGAAGGGCAAACTTTAAAACAGTAGCCAGTATAAAGGGAGGACTGGGGGGGGGGGGAAGGTGCACAGGCACATTGGAGCCACAGGGACATGTAAAGTGACCACTGTCAAACCAGTGTAAGTTACTTGGTTTCTCATGGAAAACATTATCCACATTTTTCCCCAGATGTTAATTAAATCCAACAACGTTTATTATAAGCTGTTGGTAAATTTCATTATAGGAATTGTGGGTTTATGCTAGCCACTGCCCATTGCTTAACAGGATTCAGATGATTTCAAATACTTTCTTTAGCTCCACAATAAGCTGCCAGTCAGACTTCTGCATTTCATCTCTGAACCAGTCCTTCAAAGCATCAATTGACTGACGACTAATCTGTAGACCAAAGGCAAAGATACATCAGCACAAACATGATTAACTTCACTGCTCATCCAAGCTTCCTGGCTGAAAGGACTTTTGTTTTTACCTACCTACCATACATATATGTGTTTTCCATGTTTTAATTTTAAAAGGCAAGAAATGTGGTTGCCCAAGCATGTCTCTCATACCTAATGCGTCAAGTATAAAAACATTTATTGCAACTTAAATATACTAAAAATGGAGATTTGAGCAAACCAATACTCTTTCAAAAGATACCTAACCTTTCAAAGACAGTATGATCAAAGGGCAGGCTTCAAATCTGTGTATTTTTATTTTGGAGTGCAACAACATGTATTGCATTGCACTGTTAAGCACTTAAATCTCACTAACTCCAGTAGCAAAGGAATAAAAATGCATATGCTCAACTCTTCATAGAAACAACACTGAAAAATGTTTAAATTGACTGGATTAGTCTTTCAATATTTTCCTTCCAATACAAATAGCAGACTGCATACAAGATGCTATTACCTTAAACTTGTTTAGTTATTTGACCCAAGTTGCACAAACAAAACAAGCCATGGTAGTGGCTTGTTTTGAGCTGGTAGTGTGCACAATTTACATAATTACCAGCCAGCCCCATCTACAGTTTATCATGTAATCCAAATCTAGTCAGCATGGTTTGTTGTATGATTAAACAACCAACAAATAACACTACAACAACCAAGGAATTTAAGCCATGTGTCTTGTTTTGATTGCACAAACCAGTTCATTGAGTATTTCATAGAAAGATACAAAAGCAAATCCAGTTTTTTGTGAGAAAATTGTGTGCCATGGTTTGCTTTCATAAAGGAAGCAAAGCTTCCTTCCTTCCTTACCAAAGTTTCTATTCTATTTCAATAGAATGCCAAAGCCCTCTAAGACTTGACAGGCCAACAAGGTGTTTTGTGTAGTCGCTCCATGTGTGAAACTGCACAGAAGTTATTGAAGAATTAACCATGTTTTATGAATCCTGTACGTGGATCAGAACATAGCATCTGCTATTAGTATTTATGCAAAACAAATCTGAATAATAAAAATATTGTATTATCTTTATATTTTGATCTAATTTTTACAAGTCTACCAACTGTCTTGTAAATAATTTTAGATTCTAAACAATCTACACAGAAGAGCCTAACAAGAAATTGATAAACACATTCAGTAGCAAAAAACCACCAATAGAAACAAGAAGACAAGAAAGTGTCAACAGTAACTCTGAAAGAAGCACTGACTTTACCTGGTGCCTGAAGATCAGGGGAATGTTGCAGAACTTATCTGCCACTGACTTCCTATCACCATATTCCTACTGATGGAGTTATGAACGAGAAACCCTGAAGAAGTTTCTAAACTATGTGCAGGTTCTTATGAAAGGATTTCTGGATTCAGACTGTTCATACCCTTAAAGATCAACAGCAGGCCTTTGGGATCAAATGAATGTGTTCAAAATGTGGTATATCTTCCTCATGGACCGCCTCAAACAATCTAGTGACATCCATGAGCAACCCTGGGTCCAAGGGCACCCAAAGCTATGAATCTGAGGCTTCAGAATGAGTATAACCCCTCTACAAAACGGGCTGAACACCTACCACATATTTATGCAATGAAAAACGGAAAGCAAAAGCACTTACTTTACTGACAAGTATGTCTGTTGCTTCAAAATGTCGCCCAAACATTTTAGGTGCCTCACCAGGAATGGGTTCTATTTTCACACAGACTTCTTGGCCTTTTTTTGCAATATCCACTTGTTTGTGATTTATTTCAATACTTGTAACTATTCCAATGTCAATGAACTGAAACAGAAAAATAATTTTGCAATTTTTTTAAGTAACACGTAAATTGCACAAGCTCATGAAGATTGGAGCAGGCAAAATAAAGAACATGTTTTAGAATTTGTTTAGATTTCAAACAGCAGCAGATTCTCTATTTAAAGACCATAAAAATCAATATGCTAATCTTATTCTAGATTCTCACGTTATCTCTAGCAGCATGGGAACTGCAGCAATTCTTCTTTCCACCCTACCAAGCAACACCAGCAGCCAGTGTAGCAGCAGTCTGCACTGAAATTTCTCCCTACAGAACTATTACTCCAGTTTGCTGATGATAGAGGCTGGGAAGCAGCTATATGATGCACTTTTCCAGGGTTTCTTGAGTCACCTGGTGGCACTGGAAGGCTCAGCATTAATACAGATACCAGGCTAGTATTCTGTTGTTGCAGCATCTATAATTTAATTGAAGTTCATGAAAAGAACTTCAGTTATACATGCATTTAACTGTCTAAAGATACTACAGCTATTAGTGTGCTTTACAACATACTGGCGCACAAATCTCCCAATTATATGGAAAATAATTAAGTTAATTTACACAACACATAAAACAACTAAAAAGTTTTAGTGATTTTAGATTACCAATATCATTAATTCTTCATAGGACAGGATCTGCAGTGAACTCTGCTATTACACATGCATTTAAGACCTTTGACAAATTAAGGTCTCTAAGTTAGAAAGCTAAATTAGAACCTGGAATGAGGCCAATACTCTGCTCTCACACAGAAGTTACGATTCTACTGCTTCATTACAGCTGATATTTGTTTTTACTGTTACTAATACTACAGATGGCTATGTACAGCAGTTATTCCCCCAAACTATCCTATCCTTAAAAGGACAAATGAATCTGGCCAGTACAAAGTCTGACATCTGTTAAGACTTCATTGAAAAGATAAATACTCACATTTTTACTGGGTACACACACAGGAGTTCCTTGTTTTACCTGACCCGCTTCCACAATAACTCCCATCACTATGGGATCTCGAGAATTAAAAATAAATTGAGGAAGTATTTTCATCTTACATGGGAATACTGCTATATGTCTAAGAGAGGGAAAAGAATAGCATCAACATAAACTGAAAATTATAAATCATGCATGTTTAAATACCATTTCTTAATTTAGTTGCACCTAATCAGGTAACCTAGACTAAAAGAACTCCTACACATGTTACCTCTGGTTTGAAAGTTTCCACAGAAAACCCCCAGAACTGTCAATATTTTAGGAGAATAATAAGGATCAAGTGCTTTGGCAAATATTTTCTTACCATCTCTTCGTTATAGGTAACATTCTACAAACCAATTATAGCTTATACAACTGGAAGCTTCCCTAATACAAGAAAGGAGATTCATACATGCAAGCATGATTCTATGTGCATACACCTTT